AACCAGATCAGGTTTCCCTGCTGGCCAAGGGCTCCGCTTACAAAATGCCCTCACTCTCTTTCGTGGTTCCTGCTGCAGGCCAAGAACCCTCTCACCCCTCCGAAGGATCTTCAGGACAGGACCAGGCTCCCCGTGTGCCAGTGACCTGGCCAACCAAAGGCCTACCTCTTTGATTCAATTGTAGTAGGGCGATCTGCTCTCCTTATTGCACGCCTGTCCCTGCCGCTTGGGTCTGCCGCTGCGCCGGTCCCCGAAAGCCTCTTCCTGTATGCGATGTCGCTCTGCAGCGTCTGGCCGCTGCCACTCCGCCTCTGTGCATCTGGCCGAGCCGCCGCTCCGCCTCTGTGCGTCTGCTCTGTCTTTTTGTCTTATTAGGATTAAATATGTAAATTGAAAACATTTCCCAAAGATAAAATATTTTTCTTTTGAATTACTTTTAAATGATTCTTATGATTTTTGTATTGAAGATTTAGAAAAGTAAGTTTTTCTGTTAGTCTGAAGAAATCTAGGAAGCAATGGTTCAGTGTAAGGAATGGAACATCCTGTGTCTGGAATATGGCCCCTGTATCTCAATTATTGCAACTCTTCTCTTGGACTGCGAAGCCTCAGGATCCGTTTAGATAACACCTGATAGTCCACAAAGGAAGATGGCAGTAATTCGTGCTGTTTTGTGTTTTCCCCTTTTCCTGTTAAGGCTTGTAATGAACTTGGTCAGACGTGGATGGAATCTGGGGTCAGTGAAAATGCAGTTTCCGGGCACATCCAGCTCATGATCCCCGGAGAGTCGGCGTGTTTTGCGGTAGGCATTGTCTTGGCTCACTGTCACTGGTGGACATCAGTGATCTCCTGTAACTGGTGTCTAAGTCAGAGGAGCAAAGGAGTGTGCTGGGATACTATCTGGAGCACTTCAGATTGTTTTACTCTATTTCGTTTGTAATTGTTGTCTTCTTTCTCATGTAGTGTGCGCCACCGCTTGTAGTTGCTGCAAATATTGATGAAAAGACCTTGAAACGAGAAGGCGTCTGCGCAGCCAGTCTCCCCACTACCATGGGAGTGGTTGCAGGGATCTTGGTTCAAAATGTATTAAAGTAAGTAAGGGCTGATTTTTCTGAATAGTGTTGTATACTTTTGATTAAAATCTATTTCATAAAATACTTCAAGAATTGATATTGTCAACTAAGTAGTTATCTTATACTTAAATTTTCTTTTAAGTTTATCATACATACATGGACTTTTATGTGTGTGTTTGTGTGTGTGTGTGCGCGCATGCACTCGTGCACATTCATGATGTATGTATGTATGTGAGTATGTGCACGCATACATGTTTATTTAAATGTCAGTTACTTCCTGCATTTGGAATAACTTTTTAAAAAAAGATACAGAATATTCTATATACCCAGAGCATTGGCAGAACAACACTGGGCAAGAAGGCTAAATTATGAGAATGTACCATTAGGTATTTTGGTATGCATATGTTCATGATTGTGTGTACAGGAGTGCACTGTTCTGCTTGTGGGACAGTCAGTAGATGGCCTCAGTCGGTAGTCCTCCACAGTGTTTGAGGTGGGGTCTTTTGTTGTTTGCCTTTGCTTGCACCAGGATAGTTGGCCTGTGAGCTTGCAGGGACTTTCCTGGATGCCTCCCATCTTGTAGGAACACCGGAATTACAGTCACGCACAACTGGCAAGCTTTTACGTGGATCTTGGGGATCTGAACTCAGGTCCTCATGTTTGCACGGCAAACCCTTTGCTCATTGAACCATCTTCCCAGCTCTCATTCAGTTTTATGCACAATCTAATATACCGAAGCTGTCATAGAGTTTCTGTTACTGTGATAAAACACCATCACCAAAAGCAGCTCATGAAGGAAGGGATTTATTTAGCTTACACTTCCACATCTTTGACCATTATTGAAGGAATTTAGGGCAGGAATTCAAGGAAGCTGGAGCAGGAACTGAAGCAGTGGCTGTGGAGAAGTTCTGCTTGCTTCCTTGTTCCTCACTGCTTACTTAACCTACTTTTAATACAGTCCAGGGCCACCTACCCAGAAGTGTCACCACCCATAGTAAGCTGGACACTCCTACATTAATCATTGATCACAAAACTGCCCCCACAGACTTGTCTACAGACCTATGTGATGGAGGCGTTTTCTCTTCCCAGATGATCCAGGTTATGTTAAGTGTCAAAAACCCAACCAAGACAGAAGCTTTTCTCTAGAATGTCGTTTGACAGGGAGAGGTCACAATGGAGCTCCATGGGTGTTGGAAATGCTCTTTGACTTACATCAGTGACTAAGTTTAGCTTTACGTTTACTGCATTTAAAATTGCATAGTTGATAGTAATACCAGTTTTTAAAATTAGATTTAGTATGACACAGATTTTTGTCTGTGTGTGAAGGGCGCTATGCATGTGTGCACATGTGTATGAAGTATGCTTTTTTGTGCATTCGTGTGTGAAGGCCAGAGGGCACTGTTGTGTCTTCCTCTATTTCTTTACCTTTAAAATGACTTTTACTGACCTCATTGATGACAAGTATGCTTTTTTGTGCATTCGTGTGTGAAGGCCAGAGGGCACTGTTGTGTCTTCCTCTATTTCTTTACCTTTAAAATGACTTTTACTGACCTCATTGATGACAGTCTCATGCATGTATCAAGTGCAGTCTGATTGCTGTAACCTCTTCTCCGTTTTCTCTGTTCTCCTTCTCCACTGTCACCCCTACACATCTCCACACATCCATGGCTTTGTTGTTATTTAGCCAGGGTCTCTACAGCCATGGGTTTGGAACGTCTGCTGGTGCCTGGTGGGCACTCAGTGGGAACACAGCTGAAGACAACGACTACCCTTCTCAGAACCCACCCGTAGACAGCAGTTCAGCAGGGGAGAGGGATAGGCCCATCAGCCCTTCCTGGCCCATGACTGACTGTTGGTATTGTTTAGACCCATTGCAAATAGCCATAGCTGCTGTGGGTGCCCTGCCAGCAGACAGTATTTTCAGCCCTTCTCCCTGTCTCCTGCAGTGTTCCCTGAGCAGTATAGAGCAGTATAAATGGCCTACTGAGGACCGAGCAATCAGCCTTCACTTATCCTCAGCACCGTGACCAGCTCTGTGTCTGTATTCAATGCTGTTCATTGTAGAGAGGCTTTTCCCAGGAAGGTTGGGGAGCATCTGTCTATGGGTATAAGCTTAAATACTTAGAAGACAGTCTGCTGCCTAGGCTACCTAAACAGCAGTAGTAATCTGCCCATAGGGCCTAAGACTTTAACCACAGGTTTCTGACTGCATTTTGTGGTAGTAGGTTTGAATTCCTTTTTGTGGAGCAGGCCTCAAATCCAGTCAGTGAGGGGGTGGTTCTCACCCACACCTCTGCCAACAGCAGTGCCATCACCTCACCCGTGGGCCCATCTTGCCTGGCAGGGTAGTATTATTGAATGTAGGGATTGCAACTAGGTAAGGCAATTGGTGCCTTTTCTTCCACAGGGGCCTGTAGAGCACCTTCTGGCCCTACAAAAGCTAGCCAATGGGAAGAGGCTCAGCTCACTTCCAGCTTCATTCTCTATGCCTTGCACTGAAGGTGTGTTCCATGTTATTTCTGAGACACGGTATCCTACTGATCTAGGACTCAGCATTTTGGCTACACTGGCTGTACAGCAAAGCCCTGAGATCTGCCTGTCTCCACCCCTCCCCATCTCAGTCTGGGATTACAAGCTCATGGTGCCATGGCTGCCTTCTTATTGGCTGCTGGGGACCCAGAGCCAGACTCCCAGGCTCCCATAGCAAGTCCTTTATCCACTGAACCATCTCCCAAGCCCCGATAGCTCAGGTTTAAAAACACATGTCTCATGCTGCAGTTTCCCTGAGATCCGTGTGCTGCTCTGTGGTTTAGCTGCCGTACTTTACTCACCAGCAGTTTATCTTTAGAGGCTCAAAGATAATATCTCATTATCCGTGATGGGAAGTAGTACCTTGCCTTTCCTTCTTCATTCCGCAATCACTCAAACAGCCACTGTGAGCCGAGTTTTATAAATAAGGTGGAGAAAGTTGCTGTTTCCTAGGTTGTTTGTTAGAAAACTCATTATCTACTCCAAAGTGTTCTGTAGAAATTCACTTCTAGTACTTTTTTTTTTCTTTATTAAGTATAATTTGATTTTCTTTTTTCTTTTGTGTTTTAAGATGTGGTTTCACTATATACCCCTGGCTGGCCTGGAACTCACAGAGACCTGCCTGCTTCTCCCTCACAAATGCTGGGATTAAAGGTATGTCCCACCGTGCCTCGCTAATTTGATTTTCTTTTCCAGGTTTCTGTTAAATTTTGGCACTGTCAGTTTTTACCTTGGATACAATGCAATGCAGGATTTTTTCCCTACCATGTCCATGAAGCCAAACCCTCAGTGTGATGACAGAAACTGCAGGAAGCAACAAGAAGAATACAAGGTATACACAAGCAATTGATTGGTTAGGAAGTCTGAGGATCACATTGCAAGGCCAGTAACTTTGAAAAGAAACAGATTCGCAATATAATATAAATGGTTCTGGATTTTTATAGTTTTATAGTTAATTTCTCATACTTCAGAATAACACCCATTCTTGCTTTCGGTAAGATAAAAGTGAATTCTTGTGGAGTGCTGCTGCAGAGAACTGAGAAGAAATCCCGATGTTTGGTGCTGTTTGTTTTCTACAGAAGAAGGCCGCGGCCCTGCCCACACAGGAGGCTGTACCCAAGGAGGAGGAGGAGATAGTCCACGAAGACAACGAGTGGGGTAGGAAGCCTTCGTGCCCCGGCCTCACTTTGGAAGCACACTCTTTGCTGGGAGGGAGAATAAGACTACACAAAATTTCAGATAATTCTTAGACTGTTTTCTGCAGGGACGGGGGTGGGGTGGGTTGTAAGAGTATACAGAGCTATAAGTGATTCTGAGAGTTTCTTGAGAATGAGCACAGGTCACATTTAATCCTCCAGGTATTGAGCTGGTGTCGGAGGTTTCAGAAGAGGAACTGAAGAACTCTTCAGGTCCCGTTCCCACCTTACCTGAAGGAATCACAGTGGCATACACAGTCCCAAAGAAGGTATTTACTCTGATATGTAAATATCAGAGAAGAGAAAATAGGTATCTTCCTTCAGCTTCATCTTCCATCGGAAGGCTATTGAGGTGTTTCCTTTCTAGATATGTATGCAGTCAGCCTTGAGGCGCTGAGAAGTACTCTTGTCGCCAAGGAGACAGGCACAGCTCATTGGAAACTGAGAAAGGAGAGTCTGAAAAATCCACGATGTATCCAATATAATACATTTAGTTTAAATTAAAATATTACTTTCACATCCTGATAATTTTAGCCACAAATCCATGGAAAATTCCTTTGGAAAAGGGTGACGGTGTGCGCCTGTGGCCCTGCACATAAGCGGCTACAGCAGGCAACGGTTTGCAGTTGGAGATGCACCTGGGTGTGTAATAAGACCTGGAAGCAGAGGTCATGGATAGGGAGGCGAGAAAGAGAGCAGGCACACAAGTAAACCTACAGAAATACAGACAGAGCAGGGGCTGGGCTCACCAGGCAAAAGATAGATAGCTAGGCAGTCGTTATTGAAAAGTTGCTGAACACTATTAATCATCGGGGCACGCAGATGAAAACAGTGAGGTGCATGCCACTTCGAGAGGAAAGGTCAGTGCTGGCAAGGATGTGCGCAGAGGGAGCCGGGGATGTAGCGGTGCACTGCCATCAGGAATGGAAAGCAGTGCCTCTGGTTTGGAAAACAGAATGGTGGAGGCTCCTCAAAAAATTAAAAGAATTACCATATATGTGATGTATGTGAGCCAGTGATCTCATGGGCGGTATGTATCAAAAGTATATATAGCCAAAATGCCCACCGATGAATAAAAGATATACACACACACACAATAGAACACTATTGAGCCATAAGAGTATGGGCAACCTGTCACTTGTGAAAAAGACAGATGGAACTAGACGTAATTAAGTAAAATAAGAGTGGCACAGATGGACAGACACATGATCTCACTCGTGTGTTATAGAAGTCGAGAATGGAGTAGTGCTTCTGGTGAGTAGGGGAGGAGGGAGGAAGGCTGGCCAGTAGCTTGTAGGTTACAGCTTTCTAGGAACATTAAGCTCTGGTGCCTGTCCAGAAGGGTAGCTGCAGGTAGTCACTGTTGTATGTTAGGTAGAAGGAGTGATTTTTGAATGTTCTCATTACAAAGAAATGGTTATCCTGGTGAACATCACACAGTATATACACATACCATAACTTTATGGTCTACTATATATAACAGTAATTTTATATTAAAAATGCGCTCAGTAGAAATGTCAAGAATATTGAAATTGCTGCCTCCTGAACAAAATTTTGGTGAGAAATATAAAGAACTGCATTTCCCCTAAATATTTCAAAATGTATTTATCAGAGAAAATAAGCTTTTTAAACATGTTGAGCATGGGTAAAGCAAACTGTTAAGGACATGCAGTTTTGTATGGTTCTGTTTTCATTGCATTTCCCCCTTTTGTTGACAGCAAGAGGATTCTGTTTCTGAGGTAACGGTGGAAGATTCTGGTGAAAGCTTGGAAGATCTCATGGCCAAGATGAAGAACATGTAGATCATGGACTAGCATTTGGTTTATTTTCTGTACTTATTTTATCCCCTTGGTATTAAAATAATTAAAACTAATAAAACTTAGGGCCGCCTTAACTGGCATGTGGATCTTTACTGAGTTATCATGCTGTATGGAACACTAGTGGTTGCTTCTTGCTTCCCTCTACAGCTGAATTGGTAATGCTCCCACAGAAAGGAGAGGAGAGGCCAATCCCATTCCATAATTTCCTTTACAGTAATTAATTCCTTGTTTATGTACTGAGGCCCTGGACTGTAAGTAGTGCAGATGGAGGTTGGGATGTTTAGCCTGGCGGCTGTGGCCAGCAAGTGTCTTGAGTGTCTGAATAGCTTCCTACCAGTTACCCACTACTACTAATCTGACCAGGAGTGACTTCACACAGTCAGCCTATAGAATAAAACGTCCCTTCAGATGTTTCTCAGTGAGATATGTCTTCTTCATTGGCAGTGTGTGAACCTGTGAGTTAAATATTTAAGACAAAGCACAGATAAATGCAAGCTGTCTTTGTGGACAGACAAGTACGTTCAAGAAAAAACATCAATTGTATTCTAATTTTCACTGACCAAAAGGTATTGCCTTCTGGAACAGAAATGCCTGGAGCCGCCATGTTACTGAATACCAGGCACAAGTGCCATACATCATATAGACTGTGTACATCATAGAGACTGTGTGCATCATATAGACTGTGTACATCACAGAGACTGTATCATAGAGACTGTACATCAGAGACTACATCATAGAGACTACATCATTAGGCTGTGTATATTATAGAGACTACATCATAGACACTGTGTACATCATAGAGACTGTACATCAAAGGGACTGTATATATCATATAGGCTGCTCCTGAACACTTCAACTTGATTCCCTAAACAGTGAGATGTCAGCAAGGCTTGTTCTGAGTAGTGGGCAAAATGAACTCGAAATTGCCTTTGTAATGAATGACAGGTATTTGTTCCCTGGAAGGGGTTCCATTTCCAACTGTGACCACTTAAATTGTAAACTGATGACTGATGTGAATCATTGATGATTTTTACCTTTAAGATAATTGAGTCTGTAAATGTCTAAATTGTGTGTATTGAGAAATGTTAACAAAAGTTAAAAGTATCATTCCTTATTTCTAAAATAAAGTTGTAAAGACCAAGTCTAGGCATCAGTTTAATGTACTAACTTTGAGATTCTAGGATTAAATGTGATTTTTTTCATGTTTATTATGAAGTCAGGAAGAGAGTATGCTTAACTTTGAAACTTAACATTTATATTACCTTGGTAAATTTTTATAAATATTTTCACAGAACTTAGCATATTAGATTGGAGAATAACTTTTCAAATCACTAGACATGTTTTAAATTTTAAAATGAAATTTATTTTCAGAATATTTAGAAATAGTGGCCCATGAATTCTCTAAGGTTAACTTGAAATTGTTTAACTTTCAGGTTTGGTTAAGGCACAATACATAGCATAGGATCCACCGTCTTCTACAGATCTGCTCTTTCTGGTTTCTTAGGCTGTACCAGATTCTAACGTGTCTCACTTTGCTAATATCTTTCATTAGAAACTACTGGATTATCATCTCAAAAATAAGTAAAAATAAAATACAGCAGTAAATAGGCACCAATTGATCCCATATGGCTCACCCCATAGTCTGTAGCCACAGAGACTTAAGGGGTAGCAAGTAGTGGATAAGAATTAACACACTTGAGTTGTGAATTACCACAGAGGTTTGGCCAGATTTGTAAATACTCTCCTAATGAGAAAGGCGAGCAGTCCCAATATTGTCTTAACACCCAGAGTCTAGATGTAGTAAAGCCGGTCATCACTTTGTTTCTTGTTGTTAGTAGAATGGCAATCTGGTTCTGCTCAGGTTTTTGTATTTTCTCATGAAAATACTCGCTGACGCCCACAAATGTGAGCCAAAAGGAAAAGGCAGTAGCTCTGAGACTATGTCGGAGAAGCTTTGATTGCTTCAGATCACAGTTTCGCTTTTCCTGTTTCCCTTTCTGTAAAGTACTGAGGATAAGTTATAGCAAAACTTGGTTCCTACCAATTGTTTATGAGGGACTGGTCTGAAAATTACCATTGCTGTGGGGTGTATGTTAATGACATGATCTGAGACTCACATCTATGTTAGTGTAATCTGAATCGGATATGTTACTGTGAACATAATCTTACTGTTTAGATTGCAGATCTACACAAATGTTTGTTGTAGTTTTAGGCATTCTCATGAAAGCAAAAAATATTGCTAGTAAATAATGAGATAAAAATAATAGATAAAATAATTTTTATTACATACTTAATTTGAAATATATATATGAGTGACCACCTCAGTTATAATGTGTGCCATAAAGTCAACACTTTAGGTTTTTTAAAAATCCCTTTGCATTGGTGTGAAGGTGTCAGATCCCCTGAAATTGGAGTTACAGACAGCTGTGAGCTGCCATGTGGATGCTGGGAATTGAACCCCAGGCCTTTGGAAGAGTAGTCAGCGCTCTTACCCGCTAGGCCATCTCTCCAGCCCCAACACTTCAGAGTTATCAAATCTAAACTTTGGAAGATCAAAGGATATTATGCTTTTTTGAAGATTCTTTTAGAGTACTGATCACACATTACTGAAGTTGTTTGAAGGTGGTAAATACAATACATTTAGTGTATTAATCATGAAATAATCAGATTTTAAGCTCTGATAAATTAGTTGTAAGGTCAATATCTGTTTGTGAATTCACAAACGGGCAAACCCCAAAAGATAAGTCATACTTATATTTTAGCTTTTTCCTCCTGAACCTTGAGCCTCTTCTGTGCATCCCTGTCTAGTTTAAGTCGCCATAATGGTGTCTAGATTTTAGCGGTGCTTCTCAAGCTCACAGGCTCAGGAGTCACCTGGCCACCCAGCTCTCAGGCTGCCTCTGAGTGGCTCAGGGCAAGGCCTTGCAGTCTGTCAATTCTGGATGGCAATGGCGCTGGCCCAGCCTGCGCTCACCACAGTTCTTCAACTTGGTCAAAGTACCGAGTAAACTTGGCCAATATTCAAGTCTGCTAAAACATGTTCAATGTTTATTTTTAAATAATTGTGCAAAGTGTAGCCCTTTAGTACAGAGTGCAAAAAAAGAGGAATTAGCAATTGTACTTTTATTTTAAAACAATGGAATACAATTTCTGCATCATCTTCATAATAATACTTATTGAGATCTTACAAAATTTTAAATTGATGAAAATTTTACTATAAATATACAAATAAAAACTAATGTGGCAATATTTATAAAAATCTATAAAAATATTTAATTTTCAGTATAAAAGTGACAGCTAATTGACTGAGGTAAAGCAAGATTGATTTAGACCACCTAAGAAGGAAAGAGAACTGTCATGACTTCTTTTTGTATGTTGAGGACTACACTCGGGCTGATGCCACCATGTCCCCAGCTCTACTTTTTTATTTTGTGGCAAGGTCTCACTAAGTTGCCCGGGCTGGCCTTGAACTCACTCTAAGCTGGCTCTGTCTGTCCTTGAGAACTCCGAGGCCTGTGAGCAGCTGGGAGTCGGGCCTGGCCTGTGCCACAGTGAGATCAGAGTGGTACAGAGCCTGTGGTTGCCCTCAGACACCGCAGTGCGGCACAGTGCTAAGCTTCACTGGAGAGAGCGCAGAAAGCAAGGGCTGACTAAAGCAGCTTAGCGGCAAGGAAGACTGGAAAGCAAAGCCAGGTGTACACTTGTGATCCCAGCACCCAGGAGGACAAGGAGGGATGATCAACCTGAGCTGCACAGACCCACACACCCCGTAAGAGGCTGGGGAGATACTCGGTGAAGCGTTTGCCATGGGAGCGTAAGGACCTAAGTTCAATACCAGAACCCCCTTTAGAAAGCTGGGCATAGGGATGGAGGCTTGTAATCCTGTCTCGGGAGGTGGAGACAGGTGGTTAGGTTACCAGGATGCAGGAAGGCCAGTCTGCCTAGCTAAGTGAGTGAGCACCAGGTCACTGAGACACTGTCTCAAAAACAAAAAACAACAACAAAAACAAAAAAACAAGGCTGACCTCTGATCTCCACATGTACAGGTACATGTGTGTGCATATTCTCACATACAAACCCAGAAAAAGAAAAACAAGAATTCCCACCTAGTTGGTTTCTCTGAAGACTGTTCAGATCTTTCATAAATATCCCTTTAGTCCTTGGGCATTGTTTGAGGTAGAGGACAGGGTCAGAGCCCTGCTGGGGACACCACCAGTGACTGGCAGACAGGGCTAATCATGGAATTCCTAAACTCTGGGCTCCTGCCAGCTCTTGTCCAGAGACAACCCACTCCTCAAGTCATTAGAGTGCTGATTTCTACACCCTGGATCTCATCCCATGGGAAATGGATTCTTTAATCAATTAAACCGGACACAATAATTCATTGTAATTCAATATAACCTCATACAAATACCAGTTAAATAACACTAAATAGGAAAAATGATTTTCTTTAAAAATACTGTTTTGAATTCAAATGCTCCAGATGTCTGTTTTATCCTGAGGTATTCTTGCAAAAAATTGGCACTGTTACCTTTGTCCTTGGGGAAGGAAAATATTAGGTGAATGCGTTGCTTTAAAGATAAATGTGTCCCCACTTGACGACTGCCTTGAAGGAGCTTTTCCACCCAACAGTGATGCCTCTGCTTCTTTTATCTCCATTGCCCTTTTGTATAGTTCAGCAGCCTTTTCAAAATTCCCTTCTTCATAGCTTTCAAAGAAAAAGACACAAGAAATAGGCTTACTAGCATGAAGCAGCTCTCCTTTCTAAACAGCCATCCTAGACACAGAAAACTACGTTGCAAATAATTTCCCATTGCACTTTCTTTCTCCGTGTGTGTGTGTGTGTGTGTGTGTGTGTGTGTGTGTGTGTGTGTTCGCTCAGGTAGACCAGTTAGCCCGAGTTCCCAAACTCACCTATGTACACTGGGGAATTTTATGTCTCTTGTATGTGCACCATTAAGATCATGTTGTAATGGTGTAATGGTAACAAGTGTTATCATCTGTATCCCGAGATGAACACACAGGAGTGAGCAAAACTCAACACACTTACCTCATCAGCTCTGATGTAAGTGGCCCTATCAGGCCAGAGGCAGTAGCCAGATAAGCCATCCTCACTAGTGGCCACAATACACGAAAAGTAAGCCCACCTCACCCTGATTCTGAGTATCACTTGAGTATCTAAAGCTACATGAGACAAAAACAACTACTTCTCTCTCCAAGAAAGACTTCTCAGCAATGAATGTTTCATGCTGTTCTGTGACAAGTCAAAACTATTCAAGAACTGGGATAAATGAGAAGCCAGGAAAGTTCTTACCTGAGCACAGCTAAGTTTTTTAATGTTTCTCCAACCCGAGGATGCATCCGCCCCAAGCTATCTTCATAAATCTTCAGTGCTCTTTCATAAAGTGGCAGGGCTTCACTGTGCTTTTTCTTATTAAAAAAAATAGTGCTCGCTTAAACATACTGTTTATGAAATTACTATTAATGTATTCTAGATTGAGCTGACCTATTTTGGTCAGCATTTTAAAAATCTTAATATCCTCCTATGAGATGCAAGTTAACATTATTTTATGACCAGTTTTAACTAGAGAATCGGTACACTAGAAAGTTAAAACTCCTTTAAGTTTTAGACTTGTCCTAGTACCAATTAACCTGAATCCGTAATGTAAGCACAAGCTTGCTCGTGACCCGGCAGGTCCTTAGGCAGATGCTCAGAGACTGTCCTGTGGGTGACAGGGGTCCCCAGAAGGTGAAAAGCAAACCTGAACCCAGCAGTCAGCTGGTGTTTAGCAGAGACCCAGCTTATAATTCTAACTTCAATAATGTTTGAGGTATTTAAAAGAGAAGCATTAAATGGTAAAAAGCATTATTTTCTTTACTGTGCCATTAACTAGCATTTATCCATATATATATATATATATTATATTTATCCATATATATTATATTTATCCATATATATATACACATATATGTGATATATAACCTTCAGATCATTCATTTGTAAACAGCTGAAAATGTAGATGCTTACCATTTGGCTGTGAAGGACTGCCAAGTTCACCAAGGCAGTAGCGACACTGGGGTGCTTTGGGCCAAAGGATTTCTGCCGAATTTCAACAGCCAATTCATACAAAGGTACAGCTTTGTCAACTCTTCCCTGAAAAACAAGAACGTAATCTAACAATATGAGAGCTATAATAGATACTGTCTGACCAGAGCTCTCCCCAGAAATAAATGCATCAAACAAAGATGCAGAAGCACTTTCTACAGCTGAAAACCCAATAGACCAAATGGAGCTGTTGGGAACTCAGCCATTGTCTGATAACTTGGAAAACACTCTATTTACTCTTTAGTGTTTGCAGTGGGAGAAAAGCCCAATGGCGTAGATCTGTTGCTGTACTTAACTCATGGAGGCATCAAAATAAAACCATTTCCCAACTGTCAAGTCCCCTCTGGGGTTTCTGGGATTTCTCAGCCACAGAAGCTGGCCTGAGAGACAGCACATGAGCTCACTACATGAGTTTCGGTGCCAGGGCCACCAGCAAGGGAGCCACCCAATTCTCAAGAGAGCCGACTGCTCTGCCACTGCACCACTCAGAGCAGACTGTGGCCAACTTTTGTTTTGCACAGATACAAGAACCCAAACTTTACCCCCAAGGCAAAGAGCTGATATTTAATTGTTGATAAACTCAGAGAGGATTGAAATAAAACAAAAATTTTGTAAAAATAAATAAATAATAAGGCACTATCTGCAGCCTTGGCCGCTGGCCATTTGGTGTGTTTTTGTTAATAGCAAGAACAGTTAGTGGGTTTGAAAATTCCTGAGATGTAATATAAAAAGAGATCACATTCATAATGTTGATAAAACAGTTTGTATTTGAAAGGAACTCATCTACAATGTTGGTGGATTTGTAGTTGGAATGTATTTTCCGAAAACTAAATCAGTATCTTAATTGAATTAAATCTGAAACAATAGAAACCTTCACATTCTCATCTGCTAGAAATTAAACAATGTTGTTTTAAAAAGCTCACCTGAAATAACCTCCCATCAGGATAACCTAACTAGCTGGAGCAGTCATGGCTTCTCTGGTACATTATAAAGCATGCAGGCATGGTGGGGGGGACTTACTGTTTTCTTATACAAGATAGCGAGATGCTTCACTGTGTAGGCCAGGGAAGGGTGGTCAGGCGCCAAGGCTTGTCTGCGGATGTCCAGGGCTCGCTCGTAGAGCTCCTCGGCTTTATCATACTGCTTCTTTTCATTGTAAAGAGCCGCCAAGTTATTCAGGGACTGGGCACAGTCTGGGTGATCTGGCCCCAGAAGCCGCTCCCTCATCTCCAAGGAACGCTTCAGAAACTGCTCTGCCGTTCTGGAACAAACCCCCAAATGCCTTAAACAATTTCTTCTCTAAGCGTCCTAAGCCCTAGTGATGTGGAGAACAGAAACCTGTTTCTCCCTAGACACACCAAAGTGAAGGAGTCAGGCTAAACCCAGCCCTCCACCTTCCCCAGTCTTTGTTTCCCATGAGGCATCAGTTTACCCTCTACTTCTCCCAGAAAATCCTAAAATCTTTATAGTGATCAGACCTGTGCCAATAAAAGACATTGGCATCCCTTCCTTTTCCTTAGGAGTTAGTACCAACAAAACAAAACCTGTTAGTAAACAGAATTTAAGTGAAGTGGATGAATGCTGTGGGAACTCCTTCTGCTGCCAATAGCCTTTAAGATACCAGCCCACTTGGGCGTGGTCTCTTACACTATAAATGCAGCAGTAAAGTCTGCACTCGCTCTCTGGCTTCCAGCTCTCCCTTCTGGCTGCTAGACTCTGTTCCTGTTCCCCATTTGTGCAGAGGACTATAGTCTAGGACTATGATCTGTGAGTCTACTCCTAAATAAATACCCCTTTATCATAAATAATTCTGAACTAGTGTGGCATCAGCTGAGAATTGGACTTTTCTGAAGTTTCAAATTTACTGGCTGTTTCTGACAGGTGGCTTTTAGACAGTGGAGGTAGAGGTGTGTGGAGGCTCTTCTCTTCACGTGAACTAAAGGGTAAGGCAGCAGCTGGCCACAGTTTCTACCATGGCCCTCACAGTTTGTAGTTGCCTCTGAGATTTCATATATGAGCACCCACTTTTCACAACCATCAAACAGGAAGCTGGCAGAGCTCTTGTCTAAATCTTTGTTTTCCCTAACTTTGGATTTGATTGACATGTAAAACAGCTTTGTACCAAAGAGCCACAGTGAGTACTTAATCTCTGAATGCCCTGGTACTCACTCGAGGTTGTTTTGAAGGTAGTAGAGGACACCCAGTTCGTTGAGGGTGCGGGCATTCTCAGGCTTCTCCTGGCCTAGTGTGAGCTCTTCTAACTGCAGAGCCCGTCTGCGAAGGAGGGCAAACCCGTACTGCAACACAAAAGCGTAACCACTGAGCACCAACCTTCGTTCTGGAAGCATCTACTGGTGTCCTAACAACTTTCTCTTTCGTCTTGATGGCAGCTATTTTAAGTAGCACGTGTATTTATTTCTACATGGAATCTTGCTCACAAATTCATTCAACTTTATGAGGTATTTTAGCATGGTATATGTCAAAGCACTTCAGAAAAGACTAGAAACAGCTCGCTGATCTTTACCAACTCTGGTGCTACAGATACAAACATCAGGTCCTTTCAGTTTGCAATAACCGTGCATGTGCGCACAGCATGCAGGCAGAAGCCAGCTGTCAGCTACGGCAGGTCCTCGGTGTTGACTCCCAATTTCTGCCCACCTTATTTTTAGAAATGGTGTCACTCACTGGGACCTGGGATCACCAACTAGGTTAGGAAAGTGATAGTGATCCCCCGGTGTCTACCTCCACAGTGCTGGGATTACAGGAATGACAGCAGGCCTGCCTTTGATTTTATTAATGTGAGGGTGGGGATCCAGCACAGGTCGTCATGTTGGTGCGGCAAGCATTTTGCTCACTATTTCCTCAGACCCAGGAACAGGGAACTTTAAGCCAAACATGCTATATTTAGGTTTCTATCAGCAACCTAGAAACATTTAAAACATTATGTTTGCTTATGGGAAACAGTTTTCTCGTTTGAATTTCACAGAAGATGCTGAACTTCTATTTCCTTCCCTAACTTTGTAAAAAAGAGTCAAAGTAGCTTGAACAGCACCTCCCAGAGTCTGCCTTCAGCTGAGCTTTCTAACCTAAAAGCCCGACTGGGGGTTGGGCTGTTCACCAGCACCACTCTCAATCTGTGCTTAGAAATAAGAGGACATGGCCAGTCAGGGCCTCGCCTGAAGTCTGTGGACACCTGAAGCTCTCCAGCGTGAGGTGTACGCACTCATGAGTTCCTGTCTCATCCTCCCCTCGGGTTCAAAGGACAACAAGGACGCAGTCTCATTACCAGGCCGCCTTTTCTCCTTGTGGCTTGCTGACGGATTGTAACGGATTTTTTCCTAAAATGTTCAGCTTGTTCATATCTTTAAAAAAAACAAGAGGGAGGAGGGGGAGAGGGAAAATGATGAGTCAGGGAAAAGAGCATTCCAAGAGCATAGTCATGATTCAGGGCGACAAAAACACTCTGGTACAGCCTGGAGTGGTTTCAATTGTTAAAACAACAGGAGTCTAGTGGCAGCTCGTGCAGTTCAAAATCTATGAGGAAACCCACAGAGTCCTCTATAAGGCTCACATTGAAATGTTTTAAACTGATTTAATGCAGTCTGAATCTCTAGCAGTCTAAATCACTGAAAAATCCCAAACTTAGGTTTGCAGTAGGCACCTTTTACCTGGACAGGCTAATTTTTGGTTAGCTATAGATGCAAAACTCCAGACAAAGTTAGTGTAAAGCCATACTTACAGACGTTCAAAAGAAAAATTTCCAGAAAGCCCCTCCAATGGTGGGGGAAGAGAAAGGATTTCTGAGAGAGGAAGAGAGGCCACTCAGCGGGTGCCTCGTAGGTAGAAAAGCCTTACGAAAAAAGCATATTGTCTTAGTCAAATGGCATCAGGGATTACACCTGGGGACACACACAAGCTAGGCAGATGCTCTATTGCTGACGTATACCCTCGTTTTGACAGCCTTTTTATTATACTTCCTCCAGCCAACATTTCCTATAAAGGGTCTGTAGTTGATAGTTTAGGCTTTGTGTGGACGTGGCCTCTGCCAAAACTAAGGAAGCCACACAGAGTCGACCACAGATAAAACCTAAATAAAAAAATGTGTCTGGGAGTCGATAAAACTTCTTGCCAAACTGGACTTGGCCACTAGGCAATGGCTCACGGTCCCTGAAGTGGTGATGTGCTCAGCTTTACAGTGATGGCTGGTGGAAGAGTCAGAGTTCAAACCTCAAACGACATTACTTCCACACTCACACTCTATCCCTCATGCATCTTCAATGAAAACCCAAAACCAAAGACCCGGAGATTCTAATTTTCTTTCTGTATCCCAGGAAGACCAGGAAATGCCACCTGAACATGATGCATGGGATAAAGGGCCCCAAAGCAAGTTCCGTGCATTAGAAACACCCGCCCCCTCCATGATGTCAGCGTGTGACCACGGAAGACTTACTTATTTTGCTTATGGTACAAGGCTGCGAGTGCCTCGAGCTCTCTGGCAGCATGGGGATGGTCGGCGCCGTAAGCGTTTTCCGAGATCTCCAAGGCCTGTTTATAAAGCTGCTCTGCATCCCCAAACTTCTTCCACTGGACGTACACACTGGCCAGTTGGTGGAGGGACTGGGCTACTCTCGGGTGGTCGGGATCTAATGCGGTCTCCCGAATCTCTAGGGACCTCTGTAAGGGCACCACAGCCTGGGAACAAAGGACAGAGGCTGATCGATGAGGCAATTAAAGGGCTAATCAAACCCCACAGATCTCAGCACCGGAAAGAAAACGGCTGGGAAGAAGAGACATATAAACTTGGAAACAGGGAGAGTCACCCTGCCTCTGAATCACTGAGGTTACCTGGCTGAGAAGGCCGAGATCCTTTAGAAACCGGCCAAGGGTTTCATACAAGTCAGCTAGGCACAGCAAGTTCTCCTCGCCTTCGCAGTTCCCATACTGCTTCAGGGACTCAAAGTACTCGGCCGCCATGGCACCTTTGTCTTTGCCAACAAACTGCCAGTAACTCAGCAACTCGGCAAAGTGTCCTCTGTTCCAACAGACAATGTTAACTTGGTGGAAACCGTACTTTAAAATCTACAGCGAATAAAAATGCCGGAATTCCTTTCTAGGGAGCTGATGACAGTTTGTGCAGGGGCAATCATAGCACAGTGACAATCTGTCCCACTGCTCCCAGCTGTGGCCTGGAGGAGACTGTCTGACCTCCCCACACCCCTCACCATTGTCTGCACAGAAAGGGATGTCAACCCCACCTGCTATGTGAGTGCACAGCATGACGGGAAGGCCTTTGCAAGCTGCCAGCCGTCACTAGCGAAGCTGATCAGCTCCCATTGCATATCCACCTTGTGATTGCCTCTACATGGGTGTGTGTGTGTGTGTGTGTGTGTGTGTGTGTGTGTGCGCGCGCGTGTGCGTGTGAGCGTGTGCATGCGTATGTGTGTGTGTGTGCATGTGTGTGACCGTGTTCATCTGAGGAGGGTGAGAGAGATGCCAGGCCAAAGACAAACCTGACTTCAAAGGAATCATAAGCAGCTGGCATGGAGCTCAACAGATCCAAGAATGAAATTTGTGAGTGTTTGCTCAGAAGCAAACCAAATTATACGTCTATTTCTAAATTCCTAAGTGAGACAGAAAAAAAAAAAAAACCAACCAAAAAATCCTTTCTGAGGCTTAGTAGGTTCAAAGCGGGGCTAATGAAAGGGCAGTCACACCACTAACACATTTAAATGTATCCAGAGGGGCAGCAGAAGTTGCTGACAAACCGGAGCAGTATTGACATTAGCACTGGTCGGGTTTCACTGGGAGCCCCCAGTCTGGCTTGAAGTGCACTTGTGAGAGGCCTGGAGCCCCAAGAAGCTCATGGTAGGAATAATTTCTCCCCATTGTTTCAAATCTGCTTAACTGCAAGAATAAGACAAAATTGCCCCGGGGTCATTGCAGCTGACTTTTGTAAAGCAGAACTTACTTCCTCCTGGACACACAAGATCTCCTGACAATTTATAAACTGTCATGGAATCCCCTGAACCCCACCCACTGTCTGTATTTCAGGTGCTACTGAAACTATTCTGATTTAAATGTAAAAACAATTCCATTTTGTCAGCATTGTTAAGCAGAACCACTAACTGTTGAAATCCGCCCTCTGGGGAGAGGATGTAGAAGGAGCCACGGACCTTTTATAAAGGTCCTGAGACACGAAGAGATTGAGGAGGCAGTTGTGCAGCTTCTGCTTGCTTCCTTGCTGCTGGAAAAGCCACGGGAGCTCGTCTGCACTTCTCCAGGTCACTCTGTCCTGACTGCGGGAGAAAGGAGGTCACACGGTGAGACCTTCAGCTACGCCAATACCAGGAACGTTTACCATTCCCACTGTGAGATAAACCCCTGATATTCTGGAGCAGACTCTTCCCCAGGCCACTATGAGGAAGAAATAAAACACTGAAACATTGAAAGGGTTGGGAAAGTAAAAGCCCCAGAGCATTCAAACTCCATAGGCCAAAGGTCTCTTCCTAAACTAAGGCAAAAAACCTTCAAAAGACCTAATACACATACACAGAGGTCCATGTACTTGTGTGTGTGCACATGAGAGAGAGCATGCACATGTATGGTATATATTTTAGTTATTTAAACAGAATAAAAGTAAAAGTTAACAAATTGATCTTGTATCAATGTCATCCAAGGTTTAACCTTTATCATAAGATGTCCATAAAATGGCATTTTTTTCTTGATATTAGGTAGACACTGGACTACTTTCTCGCCTTTAATGTTATTTATTTGTTTATTTATTTATTTACTTACTTATTTAATTTTGAGATAGGGAAGGAAGGTCTCACTAAACTTAGGCTAGACTTGAACTCACTCAGTAGCCCAGACAGGCTTCAAACCTGCACTCCTCCTGCCTCAGTTTACCTAGAAACTGGTATTAAGGCCTGTGCCACTTGACCTGGCTGAATTTTACACTTTAACTTAGAAGCTAAGAGAGAGAAACAAGAACTCAAAGGCAGAGTGTGTTGCAGAAGAACAGGGAGGACATTTCTGGTACCTGAGCTGGGAAGCGAAATAGTTGATTAACTTTTGCCTGTATGAAGAGATGAGGGTAGGGTCTGCCATGTACTCCAGCCTCACTGTTTCCCAGGCCTGGAGAGAGAAGGAAAAGGACACCCGATTCTGTTTCAAGTCACTGTACTTCTGACAGTGGATTTTCAAAATGCAATTTCTAATTCTTTCAGTTTTATAGTTATATAGTAGAAATAGCCCTACAATATTTTTAAATTGAGGATATGCTAATGCCATAAACTCAGTTTAGTATAAAAATTAAGAATTCAAAGCACAATTTAATTTAAAAAAGTGTGTGTGTGCGTGTGTGTATTAAATCCCAGAAAACTGTATGTAATAGTGCATCCATCACACAAAGGTAAAAGCAGAAAGAACATTTGTTTAGACCAACCTGGGCTAGACAGTAAGTCTGAGGTTTCCTGACTACATAGTAAGTTCTAGACCAGCCTGGACTACACAAAGAGATATGATGTAAAAAAATACAAAATAAAGTTTAAAATTTTTTTAAAGCAGATTGAAAGGTAACTCAAAAGAGTAAATTATATCCAAGTCATGTGTGACTGTAGTGGTCTGAATGAAAATGGTCCACATAGACTCGCAGGGAGTTGTATTATTGGAGGTGTGGCCTTGTTGGGAGAAGTGTGTCACTGGTGGCTGGGCTTTGAGGTTTCAGACAATCAAACAAGGCCCAGTGGCTCACTGTCTCCTCTTCCTGATGCCTATGGATCTAGATATAGGACTCTCGGCTCCTTCTCCAGCACCATGTCTGCCTGTACACTGCCATGCTTCCAGCCATGATGACAATGGACTAAACCTCCAAGCTGTATGCCAGCCCCACTTAAATGCTTTCCTTTACAAGAGTTGCTGTGGTCATGGTGTCTTTTCATAGCAATAGAAACCCTAACTAAGACAGAGGTTGGTACTAGGAACTGGGGCATTGCTGTGAGAGGCCTGGCCATGTTTTTGTTTGGAGGACTACAAACCTTGGGACTGTGGATTAGAAAAGAAGTTGAATGCTCTAAATGGAGTTTAATGGGCCATACTAGTAGGAGCATGGAAGACAGTGGTGCTGGGGGATTTGAACTGTGGGGACCTGGCTCAAGTAGGTTCAGAGAAGAATGTAATATTTGGCCTAGAGAACACTCTTGGGATATTTTGGTTAAGAGTGTGGCTGCTTTCTGCCCTTGTCTAAAAAGTATGCCTGAGGCTACACTGAAGAGGTTTTTGTCTTTGTTGTTTTGGTGTGTGTGTGCCCATGTGTATGTGCACACACGTGCACGCCTGTGTGTTGAGTTGCCATGGTCATGGTGTCTCTTCACAGTAATAAATCCTTAACTAAGACAGTGACAAAGGAGCAAAGCTGTGGAATGACAAACATTTACAGTGACGGATGTGATGAAGCACCCTCGGGTGAAAGAATTCTTACACTGCTCAGTTATGACAGACATATGAAAGGGATTCTCTAGTCAGCGGTTTCTGAAGAGTTATAACTGTGAGCCCATAGCAAGTCTGACACCTTCAAGGACCTCTCCAGTCTCTTCACAGCCCTGTGAGAGGCTGGAAAGTCTGCCCAGCTTGGGGCTAGCCCAGAACAGCTTCTCAGCTGGGCGGAAGGGCTATAAAAGAGGGCTGATTCTCCTCATGTTTGCATCCCTAGGAAGAAACTCCCTGATTTTGCTTCATGTGTTTTATGACTTGAATTTGGGTCCTTTCTTTTTTTTTAACATTCTATGTGTAACATGTAACATGAAAGATAACTTCTTAATTGCGTTTTTTGTTTTGTTTTGATTTTTGAGACCCACAGCATTTTGCTATGTAGCCTAGGCTGGCCTCGGATTTACAAAGCTCCTTCCTCATCCTCTCAGGATTATAGGCTTGTGCCACCATACCCAGTTCCTCTTAATAAATGTTGTAGGTTTTGAGACATGATCTCATACAGCCCAGGCTAGACTACATAGCAGAGGCTAGTCTTGAACTCCTGATCCTTCTGTATCTACATCACATGTACTGGAATAATGGCTGGCATGTGCCCCTGAGCCTGGTTCCTTTTAGTAAAATTGTAAGTGTACAATACACCATTGTAAACGACAGAGACAATATTTTGCAGCAGATCTTTAGAACTAAAGCCCCTTGGCACCACCTTTGAAGCAACAGCTGCCTCCTGAAGGCACTAGACAATGCTTAGTGTCAGAGAGGCTCACATGCAATCTAAAGCCAACGCATAAAACTAAAGTGTAATGCCAAATTTTGGCTTCTGATGCTAACATTGGAAACGTTTAACATAACATAGTATAATATATTATAGAGTGCTACAGTAATACTTACAAGTAAAAAAAAACCCTTTGCATTAAAAAGATGTTTGAAATAATATTTACCTGCAGATGCTGAAACCTGAGCAAGCCACAGCTGTAAGTCAGCAGACACATTTTGTGTAAACTATGCACAATGGAGGTCAAGGAGGCCCAGGACATCTCTGGATACAGCTCCATCAGCTCCGACTCACTCACACCATTGTGACTAACGTTGATGAGGCAGAGAATCTAACCAGAGAGCAGAGCACACAGGGACCACAGGGCACTTCAAAGATCAAAGCTGAGAATTTCTAAAACTCGTTAAGACTTATTAACTTTTTATCCAAACTTTGTCTCAAAGAAAGAAAGTAGAGAAGTAACTGAAGAAGTCATCCTGATGTCAACTTCTGACGTCCACATGTGTACCAACCAGCAAGTGCGTTCCCACATACACCTGTAAGTACATGCAGATGTCACACATACACAGGTACAACCCAGGTACACACCCAGGTACACACACATGTGCATACACACAAACACACACAGACACACACACACCCATGCACACACATACACACACACAGACACACACATGTGCATACACACGAACACACACAGACACACACACACATGCACACACATACACACACAGAGACACACCCATGCACACACATACACATACAGAGACACACACATGTGCATACACACGAACACACACAGACACACACACCCATGCACACACATACACAGAGACACACCCATGCACACACATACACAGAGACACACCCATGCACACACATACACACACAGAGACACACACATGTGCATACACACGAACACACACAGACACACACACACATGCACACACATACACACACCCATGCACACACATACACACACAGAGACACAAACACACACATGCACACACACCCCTTAGCCAAGACAATCACAAGAAATAACAGAAAAAGACAACTTGCTCAATGAAATGTCAAAGCTTGTTTTAAGGTTCTAAGACAATATATCATTGGAGAAAAAGCTAAACCGAATAGAAAAGCCTAGAAACAGACCCACAATTTCACGTGAGCTTGATATCTACCAGGCAGCATTCCAAGTCAGAAGAGATTAAAACAGTGAAGTTTTAAAACACACATCAGACCAGAACTGTTGGTAAATTTGATTTTACCAAAATGAAAATTTAAATAAACACCACCAAAGGTGACAAGACACAAAGGAAAAGGATGTATAATTTGTATTCAATATGAAAATTTAAGAACTTCAGACCAATAAGGAAAAGAAAACGAGGAGTCGGATTTGGCTCAGTGGTTAAAAACACTTGCTGTTCTTTCAGGGGACACGCATTCAGTTCCCAGCATCCACACTAGGAGGCTCACAACCACATGTAACTCCAGTTCCAAGGCATCCAGAGCCCTCTTCTGGTCTCCTGGGGAACCACCATTCACCTATGCACCCCAACAGACATGCAGCTATACACAGAATTAAAAAAAAAAATCAAAATGAATCCTAAAAGAAAAACAAGTACAGACGAATCAGAAACCTAATTTAATAAGGAGTAAAAGTCAAGCATGGTGATGCAAACCTATAATCCCAGCCCTTGGAAGGCTGGCCCAGGAGGATGGCTGTGAGTTTGAGACCTGCCTGGGTCCTAGGGCACCCAGAGCTATAGAGCAACCCTGTCATATAAAACAGCAGGAACGGGACAATGAATAACCATGAAAGCAAAATCTCAGTGATAATCTGGCGGGTGCTGCCCGCTGGCGGGTGCTGCCCTCTGGCGGGTGCTGCCCTCTGGCGGGTGCTGCCCTCCGGTGGGGGCACCGTTCCTCACCTGCGTCATCAGCTCTTTATCCACATCACTTGGCATGGCTTCCTGGATGGAGCGGAGCACAAGACTGTACAAGGAAACTGTATCTTGACACTGCAGGCACTGATGAAGGGTTTTATCTAAGTTGCCTGCTCTCCCGGCACTGTGGGAATTGAGAACAGACCGAATCTCATACAGGCTGCCGATATCTGTGAGGAATCTGGGGCACATAAAAACAATGACCTCTATTTTTGCACTATAACCTATAATGGGAATTCAATAAAAATACAGAGAAACGATAGTTTTCTGGGACTGCCGGAGTCATTGGGTTTATTTTATTATACCATTTAATCCATGTCAAAGAATATGTGCTGAGAGTTAATTTAATGTTCACTGTGGAACATAAAACTGAGGAAGGGTTGGCTCTTATCCTCCTGCACACCACCTACCTGCAGGACACAGGAGATAACAATGAGCATTGACAGCCATGCATGCTGAAATTGTATGGAGCCAGGGTCTTGAGAACACCAGGGTAAACTAAAGAAATTCAGTTAAAAAAAAAAAAAGCCAGGGCTGGTGGTACAAGCGTGTAACCCCAGCAATGGGGAAACATCCCAGGCTTACGACTTGTTTAGGTACAGAGTAAGTTTAAGGCCAGTCTCACAACTTAGTGAGACCCCATCTCAGAGGGAGGGCATTTGTCTAGTGTGCATAAGGCTCTAAGTTCAGACTTAAGTATTGCAAAATAAATACACTGAGCAAATAGGTGATACACACACACACACACACATGTGCACACATATGCACAATGGAGTACTACATAGCAGAAAAAATAATGACATCTTGAAATGTGTGGGCAAATGGATGGAGCTAGAAAACATTGTACTGAGTGAGGTGACACAGACCCAGAAAGACAAATATCATATGTACTCATTCATAACTGGCTTTCGGACATAAATCAAAGAGAGAAGAGAGAGAGAGATCTTAGAATACACAGATTTAAATGAGATGTCTCCATCAAATCCCTCCCCTCAGAGTTTAGGGAATCCCAATAAGAGGAGGCAGAAAGGGTGGAGAGGCAGAGGGGATGGAGGATAACAGGACAAGACCCTCTAAAATAATCGAGCAAAGTTCACATGAACTCAGAGACTGAAGCAGCAAGCACAGAGTCTACACAGGTCTGCACACTGGTTCCTCTGCACATATACTATTGATTTCAGTTTAATTCTTTTATGGGACTCCGGAATGTTTAAATGCGTGGGTCTCTGATGCTTGTGCCTTCTCTTCTCTTTATTATTCTGTTGGCTTGTCTTGTCTAACTTCAATACGATGGCTTTTGCTTTATCTTATTATATTTGCTGTGTTTGTTGTTATCACCTAGAAACCTGTTCTTTTCTAGGGAGAGACTTAAAGGGATTGATCTGGATAGGAGAGGAGGTGGGGAGGAACTGGGAAGAGCAGAGGGAGGGGAAATTGTATTCCAACATATTGTGTAAGAAAGAATCTGTTTAATGAATGGGAAAATAGATTCTTGTAACAAACACCATACATTTGTATGGAAGAGGCTCTCTATTCTCTACAGTTCTCACTGTATTGCCACAAGCAACAATGGAAAGACAGGAGAGCTTGTCATAGGAAACTCAATCTTATACGAGTTTCTTTTCATTTCAGATTTGGTGTTCAAAATGAGAATGTGGAATTAAAAGACAAGAATGCTAGATTCAGTGTCTGTAAACAAGGCTGGGCTAGATGATTTCTATTATGACAAATATTAAAAAATAGTCCTCTTACATCTCTGCCTGAGGACTATGCAGAGTGAGGCTGAATGGAAGAAGACACCAAAGTCCAGCCATCCAGTGCTCATGAAAAGTGGATTACTGCCTGGTATGGAAAATAGCTATTTATGGCTAGACTTTAGAACAGACAGTGGAAAACCCCTCCTGATCACTCCGTCCTCAACACTGAGCCACAGTCTCCCGAGTGAGTGTGAGTGTCACGTCAGGAAACAGAGGGACATCCGAGGCCAGTGAAGCTAGTTTGAGCAGCCATCACTTTGCAGAGAAAGTGGACTGCAGCAACACGAACAAGATGAACCCCAGCAGAACCAAGGGAGACGCCCACTCACCACGCCATCATTTTGCTGAAAAGGGTGACGTAGAGGGCGTTGCAGGTCGCGGCGGAACGGCAGTGTTGGTCTAGATGCTTCTCCTACACCAGTTTCCAAAGAAAACAAAACAGAAGTAAGAAAAGCAGCCTGGGGTCACTGCTCCTGGGCCAGCCACAGCTGTCCCAGCAGAAGGACACTGTCTCTGTTGCTAACCCTGATGTCACAGGTGTAACGGAGGGAGCCTGGCTACAGCCAGACTTCCAGCTGCCGAAGGAAGATGCAGCCAATAGAGAAACACTTTTCATTTTGTAATACCTTCTTAACACTACATACTCTTCCTAAGTGCCAAAATATTTGGGTTGCTTCTTCTATGTCTGTCATTAAAAACAGAATGGGGGTAACTTGGGAGGTAGCTCAGGGAATAAATAGCTTGTTCCATGAGAACCTGAGGTCAGATCCTGAGGAGCCCACATAAAGAAGCTGGGTGTGGGGGTATATGCCTATAATCCCAGCAGTGGGAGGTGGGATAGAAGTAGGGTGGGGTGGCAGAGACAGGCGGGCTTCTGGAGCTTGTTGGCCATTTAATTTAACCAAATGCTGAGCACCTGGGTCAGTGAGACTGGCTCAAAACAATAAAATGGGGAGCAATAGGGGATGACATCTGACTCCAATCTGGCCTCCATATGCATACACATACACACAGGTATACACAGGTATACACATAGGTGCATGCACCACATACACACAGGTATACACATGCATACCCATGGGTGCATGCACTCGCATACACACAGGTATAGACATGCATACACATAGGTGCATGTACCCGCATACACACAGGTATACACAGGTATACACATGGATGCATGTACCCGCATACACACAGGTATACACAGGTATACACATGGGTGCATGTACCCGCATACACACAGGTATACACAGGTATACACATGGGTGCATGCACTCGCATACACACAGGTATAGACATGCATACACATGGATGCATGTACCCGCATACACACAGGTATACACAGGTATACACATGGGTGCATGTACCCGCATACACACAGGTATACACAGGTATACACATGGGTGCATGTACCCGCATACACACAGGTATACACAGGTATACACATGGGTGCATGTACCTGCATACACACAGGTATACACAGGTATACACATGGGTGCATGTACCCGCATACACACAGGTATACACAGGTATACACATGGATGCATGTACCCGCATACACACAGGTATACACAGGTATACACATGGATGCATGTACCCGCATACACACAGGTATACACATGGGTGCATGTACCCGCATACACACAGGTATACACATGGATGCATGTACCCGCATACACACAGGTATACACATGCACAGCACACACACATAGTTTAAAGGGAAGAATTATTACCAAAATAATCACAGAAATCCAGATTTCCTCATGAGAACAGAGCTCTTCTATTGAATTTGAAGTCTGGCAGTAGAGAAAGCAGTGGAGTGGGAATGCTCACCTGCTCTCTGCTCAGCGTCGTGTCTACAGAGCTGCATTCTGCAACTATTATGGATTTTGCATCTTTGGGGCTTAAAGGATCGAGATGCAGTGTAGGCCACAACCTTTTGTTTAAAGAGGAAAAAAAGAAAACAAATTTCTAACAATGCAACAAAGACCATAATCCACCACAAACCCGTGGATTTAAAACCATTAGATGAGTTGTTTTTATGCGATTTTATAAAATAAGCTAATGGAATCTGCTAATCCCATTAAATTGTTGCTTAATTCATTCTAAGGTTTACCATTACATTGACCAATAATCAAAGCAGAGTGCCATAAGCTACATACTCGCTGGCTAAGTAGGGAACATCTCTACTTCTACCTTCAGAACTTGCGTTAAACTAGCACAGTGCTCAGGAGGAGCAGTTCAAGACGGTCTCTGCACTCAGCTTCTTATAGGGCAACCGACTGGGGATAGGAAAGATCTTATGCACAAAGTACAAGTATACACACATATATGCTTATAGATGCACACGGACATAAGTGCATACACACAGCATTAACATTTCTTAAAAGGCTTGATTGGTGGAAAAAGGCTTTCTTGTAGGAAAGGACCTTTACAAGGTTTTTCCCTGGGTAAAAAATATATATATATATATAAGTTAAGGAACTGTTCTCCAGAATTCAACCCTTATATGACTTTTCTGAGGGCTGTCAATAAAAGTGAGCCTGCATTCTAGAATAGCGGGTCTCTAGACCGCAATTCTCAAGCCCCTGTCCACCTCCCTCACCCACAAATTCACCTGCTTATAGGTGGCCTTACCTGGATTAACAATTCACAATTCAAACTACACTCTCCCAAGAAACAAACCCACTAGCTCCTCCCTGCAAACATGCCCAGCCTGTGTCTCCCTTTCAGCCCAGGAAGTCACAATTAGCTTTCACTTCTTCATTCAGACAACTTGCAGTCATTCCCATTTCCTCCCTTTCCCTCCCACCTCAGCTCTGACTTCACCCCCAAGTCCTGCAGGTGGTGCCTTCTCCTGAAGGTCACCCACCTCTCCCCAGCCTCACTGAGGATGCACACCAAGGACCTTCCCTTGCCTGTCCAGGAAACAGCTCTCCGTCTGAGGGACCGGACTCTCCCTCTGAGGGACCCACTCCACGCACTTCACCTACCTCCACGCTGCCGGGCAGCTCTCCACATTCACGGAGACGATGACTCTGACATTCACCGGCAGGGGGTCTATCAGCCACTTCATGTGCTTCTCCACTTGCTTAAGAACAGACAGCGGAAGTCAGGTTATAACAACAGCATTTCAGAGCAATCCCCGAGTTCTCCAATAGGGTACCATTCTCTTTACACTATCCTTACTAAGGACACAACTCTTATTTGGGAAGGGTTGATCCTAGGTTGGCAAAACACTCTTATCACCAAATTTGAATTCTGAACATCTAAGGAAATATTTTTGCCTTAAAAATATGTCAAAATAAATACTTTTTGCTAAGTATGTAGATTTACTTGATGCGACTATCTGTGAAAATACAGTGTAAATTTTAATTCAGACACTTCTTCCCCCACAGTTAAGTGGAACTGGATGGAACAGCATCATTCCCTTCCACCAGCATGGAACTGGGATGCCTGCTGCAGACATTGCTGGTACTCTGGTCATCTAAGGCATCTGCTAATAGAACACACTGAGAGAAGCACCTGAACTTGATCTATGGAGTCGATGATGATGATGATGCTGCCCTGATGCCGAGCAGAGAGCTTTTCCAGCCAGTGTGGAAATTCTTCCAGAAGCTTAGCAGGGTCCAGTGTCAGTGCAGAAACGGCCCAAAAGTGCTGCATCAGCTGCGGAGTGACAAGGTGACACCACGTGCAAAGTAAATCAGCTGTTCTCCATGACAGCAGAGAGTGCTTTCAGCCTCACTGTGTACATCAGCGCTGACTCCCCACGGTGGTGGTGTCAAGTGCTAGTGTGTGTGTGTGTGTGTGTGTGTGTGTGTGCGTGTGAGTGTACATGTGTGCACCTGCATGTGAGGGCCAGAGGGTGACGTTGGGTGTCCTCAGTGGCTTCTCTACCTTATTATCTTTTCAGACTGGGTCTCCCACAGAACCTGGAGTTCACTGACTGGCTAGCCTAGTGGCCAGAAAGTCCCACGGACCCTCCTGTCTCCATCTACCCCCTCGTGCTATGGTTAGAGACATGCATGCTGCCATGCCTGAGTGTCTACATGAATGCTGGGTTGCAAACTCAGGTTTCTATGTGCATGGCAGCATTTCCCGACTGGATCATCTGTGCAGCCTGTAAATCATACATAGTTTTGAAAGATTTATTTACTTTTATGCTATGTGCACATCTGGGTACCATGTGCATACAGGGTCTACAGAGGCCAGAAGCGAGTGTCAAATCCCCTGGAACTGGAGCTGCAGATAGAAATGAGCTATGAGGTGGGTGCTGGGAACCGAACCTGGGTCCTCCGTAAGGGCGAAAGTGCTCTTAGCCACTGAACCGTCTCTCCAGCCCCAAGGACTACTTTTTTTTTTTTTTTTTTTTTTTTTTCGAGACAGGGTTTCTCTGTAGCTTTTGGTTCCTGTCCTGGAACTAGCTCTTGTAGACCAGGCTGGCCTCGAACTCACAGAGATCCTCCTGTCTCTGCCTCCCGAGTGCTGGGATTAAAGGCGTGCACCACCACCGCCCGGCTCCCAAGGACTACTTTTTAAACCTTACACAAAACTAAAATAACCGTCACAGGTTAAATATCCCTCATGCAAGATGTTTGGCACCAGAAATGTTTCAGATTTCAGATTGTGGGGATCTGGAGAATGTTTGCATATGATAGTGAGTGATCTTGGGAACAGGACTGAGGTCTAAATATGAAATTCATAACGCCCTCTACAATTAGCCTGAGGGCAATTCTAAACCTCCCAAAGCGAGCCAGTGTTTTAACCATGACACGTCACATAAGATGAGACGTGGAATTTTCCACGCGAGTTGTCATGTTGTTACTCAAAAAGCTCCAGATGTCAGCTGGGGCTGTAGCTCAGCGGCAGAATAGCCTGCCTTGCATGCACGACTGCAAGCTTAGCAGGATCCAGTGTTCAATCTCCACAACTACCAAAATGTTTCAGATTTTAGCAGCTCCGATTTCAAATTAGTGATGTTCTACCTACAATCCTGAAAACATGCTTATTATTATTGTCTCAGCCCCAAGAGCCCCAGAATCTGCATAATATCCAGGTGGCTTCAGAACGCGCTTGACATACCTTCAGGGTCAGCCGCTTGATAATCAAGGAGGGCTCCGAGCTGGTTGACATGGGCCGCCCCACAAAATGAGACAGGATCAGCGTGTTAGGGAAATGCTTCTGCTGCAGCTGAATCCTGAAGGAAAGACACGGGACTTTTATAAACTCTCTGCAGCAACAAATACACACAGAGCCAGACATCAATTGTGGCTCCCGTGTCCTTAATTAAATAAGGAGATTAGTGATTCCACTCTGTTTTTAGAACCTTTTAAACTAATAGCCTCATCTTAATTAGCAGATTATGTTAATTAACATAAAATGTTAATAAAAGGGGCACTGACTTTTAACTAAACGCAGGCTGTTAGAGGAGGTGGATACTGGGAGGTGAGGAGTTCAAGGTCATCCTTAGTTATACAGCGAGGCTGAAACCAGGCCATTTTGTGCTACATGAGACCCTATCTCTAAAAAAAATAAGACAGTGAAAAGAATGGTTTAGTAGCATTGGGTCATACCACTTTGATAAAAGAAGGGACTTTCCAGACCCTGGTCCTCCAGACACCAGGAGGGGTGGGATCGGGGCTGGTGCCACCACCAGATCATCCAGGCGCTGGTAATACTAGAAACAAAAAAAGGATTTACACTGTAAGATTGCACACGTCTCTGAGAACACTAAGCAGAACTGGCACTCAGCTTCTGTAGGTCCTCTGAAGACACTAGAGGAAGCTGTTTGAGAAAACAGACTTGCGGAGGGCCAACAGCACGCGTGGCTGCTGTTCTGTACATGGCTGCTTAAAGCAGGAAATGAGCCCCGTGGCTTTGCTGTAACAGAGTGAGGGAGAGTATGGACTGTGGCGGGTTTTCACAATGTTTAGATGTTTGGTGAAACGCTGCAGAGAAGACATCGGTCACACCGGAGCCCCTCGACCACAGGAAGTGTCCCCATGCTGTGCAGTCCCAGGCAGCAACCCTAGATTTCCTCAGCAGAAGAATGAACTCGGAGCCTGCCTCAGTTTCCAGGGCTTAGGGGTCCAAATAAAAGGAGGCTTCAGGCTTCTTCTGAACCCCTTCCCCCCAGTCTTCCAGGCTGCCCTGGAGAGCCAAGCTCGGTCAGGCTGTCTGAAATCTTCATGAAACTGAATCTTTGCAAAATCCAAAAACACATCTTTTCCGGGCCTTTCCCAGCCATGCAAAACCATGCTCAGACCAGGAAGGCTATGATTGGAAAAGTAAAACGCCAAAATACTTCTTAGGAGTGCCCGGAGCCAGCTTAGTGTTGCTATGTCTACCAACATCTTAATGACTGCTGATGACGTTTTAAACTCATAATAGCTTGTGGTGGGCTTTGGGATGGCTTTATAGTAGTAAAATCTCAACTGCAGGGAAACATCTGTGGTGTAGATATTGGTACCGAGACACGAATCAATTGCCAAGGATCCCCAATGGCTCAGAGCGGTGTTGCATCTGAAGGAACAGAGGGAGGCCTTGTTGATTTATTACCCTAACTATCCCAATAACTCGGTCCATGGTTCTATAGAAACCCACTTAAAGGTCTAGAGTCCCATGTTGGGGCTTCTTGCTGCCAAGAATGTGGACTACAGTTCATGTTTATTCCATGTATGCTCATGGGGAAATCATGTCAGACTTCAGTTTCTTCTTCTATACCGCAGTATCAGTATCTCTCTTAAAACAACCACTACTTAATATTACCCTCATGCCAGCTGCTGTCTGTTTTAGGGGTGTCATCAGGCTTAATATTTGCAACATTGCCCTGCGAGAGAAGGAACACTAGCTATTCTCCATTTGCGGATAAGAAGGTCAAGTTTAGAGTGACCAGAGATTTGACAGAACCAAGCAATGAGCACAGTCTAAATTCTAAGAACTCTATAAAAATATGTCTGCTCACATTAACTTCTGTGACAGCCTTGGAAATTAATTTGTAGACTCAAGTTGAGATGGCTCAGCCCATTAAAGGTGCTTGCCATGAAGCCTGATGGCCTGACTTCATTCCCTGGGCACACATGGTGGAAGCAGAGGACCAACTTTTTAAAGTTGTTCTCCGATAGCCTCACATGTACCACGGCATGTGTGCCCCCCAATACATAATGTCACCTAAATTTAAAAATTGACTTGTACATTACTTTGTGATATTATTCGGTGTTTTTTAAGTTGGACATGTTTCTTAGATGTCAAGTTGTTAATCTGTTTAGATCCTTATAAATGCTGATTAGACCAAAAGTGGAAGGCTGCTCTGCCTATTGAATGATCGACCAGAGTTTATTTTCTGAACATTTGGCACTTTAGCTCTTTAACAGTTAGGAAGAACAACAGCCTGGCTTTGCTACCATCACATTCCCTAGCCTGATCTGGGGGAGTCACAGATGGCAGCATAATGGGTGCGTGGCTGATGAATCTTCATCTTTAGCAATATTGGTGTTCATAATACATGTCAAAGTCACATAGTCTTTCCGTGATACAAATCTAAGCGCATTCCAACATGGGTCATCCAGCCTTGAGAGAAGGTAACACAGTCACCAACCCAAATATACTCAGGTGAAAGAATTGTTAGATGACAACCTATAAGCCATAACTTATTTTTATTATTTTTAATTGTGTGTGTATGTGTGCGTGTGCATGTGTATGTGTGTGTGCAGTTGCATGTGGAGTCCTAAAGCGAACATCTGGTGTCTTCTGTTATCACACCCCACCTTACTTTTTGAGATAGGGTCTCTCCTTGAGCCCAGGTTCACTGATTGGTTAAGCTGACTGTCCAATGAGCTCCCTAGATCGTCCTGTGCCTCTGCCCTCCCCATGCACTGGGGTTACAGAAATGAGCCACCACACTGGACTTTTAACATGGGTCTTGGGATCTGAACTTGGGCCACCATGCTTACGTGAGAAGAACTTTCCCAGCTGTGCCACCCCCAGGCCAGCACCTGATCGCTGATAGGACCAGTGTCTCAGAAGCTTACCTTCTCGAATCCCAGTTCATGGGCTGAATTAGAAGCCTGCTGAAAGGCTTCCATCTGCTCTTGCTCATCGTGTATGTCCCACAGCACATCCCCCAAATCGTCCTCTTCTGGAGTGGAATCCTCACTGCCTGCATCCTTCACCTCCACGTCTGTGATCTCAAGGCCGAGGATGTCCTGAGCACAAAGAACAAGTACAGGAAAACAAATAAAACTCAGAGACTTTGAAGCTGGGGTCAGCTTGTTGGGCCTTACCTGCCGAGGGCGGGCAAGTCCAGACTTAGGCTCTGAGGAACAAGAGTTATTAAAAGTACCCCCAAGAATAAATTTGCAACCATAAGAACCCTAGTTTAAAATAAAAACACTAAAATATAAAGATTAAGAGTTCTTCTCAACTAAAAATAAAAGCAGAGTACTATTTGTGTGATGGGATTTGTTTTCTGAAAAATGCCATGTAATAGTTGTAATTATGTTTGGCTAGAGAATCACTTTTTAAAAAGTGTGTGTATATGTGTGCTCGCGTGCGTGTGTGTATGTGTGTGCGTAAGTGTGGAGTCCAAGAGACAAAGACTAACTTGGGCATCATCCTCAGGAATACTTACCACCTTTGAGATAGGGTCTCTCACTGGCAAGAGCTCACCATGGCTAGCTAGAGAGCCTAAGGGAATCCTTCTGTCTGCATATCCCGTGTTAGGATAACAAGCACATACCATCAGGCCTGGTATTTTTAAGTGTGTGCTTAGACTCCAGCTCGGGTCCTTATGTGTATGAGGCAGGCATTCTACAGAGTGAACAATCTCTTCAGCCCACTACTGAATAATTTCAAAGGCCACACTAATGCCTAAGAAATACAGTATAAGACTGAATTTCCGAGATCGAGTTTCTTTCTTTTCTTTTTCTTTTTTTAAAAAAGTTTTTCGAGACAGGGTTTCTCTGTGTAGCCTGGTTGTCCTGGAACTCATTATGTAGACTAGGCTGGCCTTGAACTTGGAGATCCGCCTGCCTCTGCCTCCCAAGTACTGGGACTAAAGGTGTGCGCCACCACCGCCTGGCATGAGATGGACTTTCTTGACTTCAGGCCTCTCTACCATGACATTTAATTTCTCTAGTAGATCACTGAAAATATATTGATGATAGGTAGGGCTTATTTCATTTTACTTATCTTGGTTCTAAGTTTTGTAAGACTGAAAAGCTCAGAATCATCCTGGCAATCTTTCTACTCGAGATCAGCATGCAAATGCGCTGCCATAGGTTGCCTCATTACGTGTTGGGCTCACTCTTCTCTGATGACAAATCTCCATATCTGTAATCCAATTTAAATAGAAAATATGAAGCTGAACGTGGTAGAGCACACCTTTAGTCCCAGCACTTGGGAGGCAGAGGCAGGCAGATCTCTAAGAATTTGAGGCCACCCTGGTCTACAGAGTGAGTTCCAGGACAGCCAGGGCTGGTACACAGAGAAACTCTGTGTCAAAAAACAAAACAGAAGATGATGTGACACCCCCTCCTTCTCCGGTGAGGTCTCTGGCTCCAGGGAAGAGCTGAGCATCCTTAGGCCAACATGGTACACCTTCCCATCATGTTCCTTTCACTTGGAGATAACAGTGCTGCCAGCCTTTTGATATTAGTTATTGGTGCTTTTGCTGAAACAATTCTGAAATGATTTTTTGCGTAAAGAATAAGCTCAGGCACAAGACCAAGCAGCTACGGAAAGCATATGCATTAAAAAAAATACGAGATTTCAACGAAACTTCTAGCTCCAGATGCCTCCATGGTTCATTTCATATCCTGTTCTCCCAAAATGTGTCCTCTCTGCTGTTAGAAATGGCAAGGTGGGGGGGGGGGCATCTCAAATATGTAAAAAACCCAACTCCACAAAGATCACAAGAAGCCTCTTTGAGGAGTACAATGCCCATTTGTCCTCAAATGCCTCCTCTGGAGTTCCGTGTTCGCAATATGTTTACACCTAGCAGGTGTTGAAGGCAGCCAGCTCTGTGAGGCACATCCTGACAACATCAGGGTCTCACCCAGGGACCAACTCCCAAAGAACAATAGTGCTCTCCTGGGGAGCCAGTCTCAAAAATGACACACAAGTAGCTTTGTCTGGAAAACTAAAGAAAATACTATTAGGGTATTTTAGATGAAAGCTTACAGAGAAAAGCATATTTACCTGTTTAATAATCTTTTCAACACTGATGTAAATTTTATACACTCCCTCCGCAGGATCTCCTGAGTGATGGATGATCTAGGGAAAAGGGCTCAGAAGTAACATGGACATGCAGTAACTGCAGCAGCAGAAGGAGAAGTCTTTCAACATTTTAACTTTTTTATCCCAGCAAACTCCTTACAACAAAGATACTAGATTGTAACCTTGTTCAGAAGAGGAAACCGAGGTAAGTTAAAAGGCTGGTCTGAAGCCACACAGGAATATGGTGGGGGCGTCTCATTTCAACCTCTCCCTTGGGTTAGGACCCCCGGAATCTCTCATCTAGACGCCTGCTACCCTCCAGACTACTCTATTCTCACAAAACCATGGACATCACTGGCAGAGGTTCACACCAGGCCCTGACATTCTGCTCAGTGCCAACCAATACTCCCAGCCCCACCCCAACGGAAAACGCCAGGTCTTTAAACAGCTTCTGAGGTATTTCAGGACTGATCTAACTGGGCCACCTTGCTGTATGTGCCCTCTCTGGACATGCTGGCTTCCTTTCCCATGCTCATCCACCTCCTGGCTCTGGCTTGACTCTGCCAGGCATGTTCTGTGACATATGTTCTGTGTTTTACCTTGGCTTTGTTGGTCTTGCTTAGGTTAGAAACTTGATCCAGGAACTGCTGGACGGAGTCGGAAATGACTTCCCCATCCTCCAAACGATGGTAGATTAATCGTGGTTTTCCTTCTGGGTTCTGCAGAAAGGCTTCTTCGCAGTCTTCTAGTAGAAACCTAGATTGGAAATCATCATCTCTAGAGTTATGTTGTACTGGGCAGCAGATTCTCAGTGACCAGTCTAAGTGCCCAAATGGACTTTACCATAGTGAAAGGGCTCAGATACAAAGGGAAAAAAGCTTTCAAACTCTCTCTCTCTCTCTCTCTCTCTCTCTCTCTCTCTCTCTCTCTCTCATTCTGTGTGTGTGTGTGTGTGTGTGTGTGTGTGCGCGCGCGCGCGTGCGCGCGCGTATGCGCCCAGAGATCAGTGTCAAATGTCTTCCAGTGCCACTCTCTGCAGAACCTGGAGCTCACTGAGTCAGCAAGCCTGGCTGGTCACAAGCCACAGGGATCTATGTGTTCCTCTCTCCTTCCCCTGTGCTGAAATTATAGATCTTCATAGCATCCAACTTCTATGTAGGTACAGGAATTCGAACTCGGGTCCTCATGTATGTATAGCAAACACTTTACCTACTCAGTCATCTTTCCAGTTCCAAAATTGGGTCATTTTACAGTACTTTTTTTCTCATTAAAATAGTACTTTAATAAATCTATTAAAAGTAGAACCAGTGGCTGGATCCCGACATTATGGGCTTTGGGCTTTTGGAGCAATTACATGACCACACTGCAGTCATCTTAACAGAGAGATGGTAAAGACTCAGGTACAGTCAAGAAGCCATCTTCCAGCTACAACTTCTACTTGGGGTTTAAAAAGTAGCTGAGGAATGCCCACAACACAGCTCTTCATTCTATTTGCCTTTCTCGGTGTTGGCTGTTTATTCTTTTCTTTTTTTCATATGTTTCACAATTTTATTTTTCCTCTTCTCTCTCTGGGCTTCCTTGACCATTTTTTTTCTTTCCTTTTTATCAGTGTCAGGGTCAGCAGTGTGTTCTTCATGTCAGGCATTATCTTCCTGCTCTTCCGAGTCTGTGTCTACTATTCTTACATGGTGATAGAGGAAGGTCATTGGTTAAATAAAAAGAAACTGCTTGGCCCTCATTGGTTAGAAGATAGGTGGGAGGAGTAAACAGAACAGAACGCTGGGAGGAAGAGGAAGTGAGCTCAGACTCCACAGCTCTCCTCTCGGGAGCAGACGCCTCAGGGAGATGCCATGCTCCCAGCTCCCAGGCAGACGCACACGATGAAGCTCCGACCCAGGATGGACATAGGCTAGAATCTTCCCAGTAAGCGCACCTAGGGGCGCTACACAGATGATTAGAAATGGGCTAAATTAATATGTGAGAATTAGCCTAGAAGAGGCTAGATAGAAATGGGCCAATCAGTGATTCAATGAATACAGTTTGTGTGTTGTTATTTCGGGCATGAGCTAGCCAGGCAGCCGGGGTGCTGGGGACGCAGCCCCGCCGCCCTTATTACTACAACATGGTCTTAAAAATACAGTGTGTTCACTAGCCAGAGAATAAGACCTATAAATTATGCCTTAAGCTATAAAGCTTCATGATTGATTTATTTTAAGCATACAAATTCTAAAAAAAATACTGTTTGTGCATGGCTAAAAATAATGAAGCAGATTCATGAAACTCATTCACCTCACACCTAAAGACCATGAAGTTTTAATGACAGCGTTTCTTATGAGAGTACAGAATGACGTGAGAGCCAACGAACGGCATCTTGAAGTAACTCTGTGCGTCCCATATGTACAGAGCAACTAATTATTGATCATGAAGGTACTCCCCTATGAAGCTCCCAAGCTATTTGGGCTGCTCTTCCTAGATTCGTCTTTTGGGAAGTTGCGAGAGTCAGCCAATCAGAAGCAGAGTAATCTGAGAAGAACAAAGGCCCCAGCAGCTGTATCTGTGACCTGATGCTCATTGCTCCTGTCACACTTCTGTGTATTTGTTCATGGAGAGGGAAGCTCCCTGGGGATTGAACCCAGGCCTCGTGCATGCAAGGTAAGTGCTGTACCACCGAGCGGCACTCGCAGCCCCAACCACCACGATAGTCCAAAGGAACAGAGGAAAGAATGCAATAAAATGAGGGAAATTCAAGCAGAATGAAGCTGAAGCAGAAATGTAAGAAATTAAAATTCTGATTATTTAAAAAGAATTTTTTTTTTCGATACAGGGTTTCTCTGTGTAACATATAACAGCCCTGGTTGTCCTGGAACTCGCTTTGTAGACCAGGCTGGCCTCGAACTCACAGAGATCTGCCTGCCTCTGCCTCCTGAGTGCTGGGATTAAAGCTGTGTGCCACCACTGCCTGACTAAAAGAATCATTTAAGAAAATCAAAATTTTAGTTAAAGGAGATAACAAATAATAGAAAATAAATGGAAGGGGGAACTCAAGTTTAAAATGAGGAAGACAAAAACAAATGCTAAAGCATAAAGAGGAGAGTTATCTTAAACAAGCGAATGTCTTAAAGAAAAAGCAGATTAAGAATAAGAATTAAAAAGAGTAATTTAACAATGAAGGACATGTATTACCAAATAACATAAGATACAACCCCAACATCAGGTATTAAAAATGATACACCCTTAATGAATACAAAAGCAAGGAGAGAACAGGAGAGAAATGGGATTCTGCTGAGGGCAACCAGTTGAAGGGCATTGTAGACACACTTGGAGAAACTGTTAGTTTTCTCCACCTAGCCGCTAAACTGTCTGTAGGCCCCTTCTTTCTTTTGTGTGTTTGTATGCGTGGGGATGTGTGTGTGTTGTGTATGAGTATAGTGTGTGTGTTGTGAGTGAGTGTGTGTGTTGTGTATGGGTGTGTGAACAAGTGTGTGTTGTGTATATGTGAGTGAGTGTGTGGTGTGTGTGTGTCTGGTGTGAGTATGTATATGTGGTTCTTTTTTCTGTGTGTGTAACTCAGCATTCAATCTAAAGCTTTATGCACACAAAATAATTATTACTCTACCACTGAGTTTTCTCCTCTCCTTTTTTCCAGCCTCCCCATCCTGAGTGCTGGGATTACAGGCGTGCATCACAATGCCAGATTTTTTGAGGTGTTGGTGACTGACCCCAGAATCTTGTGCACGGCAGGAAAGTCCTCCACCAACCGAGCCACATATCTAGACCTTGAGTTCTTGTTTTGAGACAGGATCTTGCTAAGTTGCCTGGGCTAGGCTGCAACTTGCAATCCTGCGTCAGTTTGCTGAGCAGTTGAGAGGCCCAGCTCAAGGCAGAGTCTTAGAGACAAGGACAGGATTTACTGCAGGGAAAGTGGTGAAAATGGACATCTAAGGCAATTAAAGTCAAGGGCAACTCACTCTGCAAGGCTAAACCCAGTCAGAAAACAAGGCTAGATGGAACAGCTCACGCCCCTTTTTGTCCCATTTTGTCTTTTATCTACACCATCTATATTTGATTGATTAAAAACACCCACAGGTAAGATTCATTATATTATAATAATATTCACATTGAAACTTCATGTCTCTCAAATTGTATCCTAAGAAAGACAACAACGGGGTTGCCTGTGGACTGATATGGGAAGCCACCAGCTTTTCCTGTAATTCAGACAATAAACAATAGGCTGTGTAGGACAGTTTCCATTGTGAACATTCCCTTTTGCTGTTATAGTATGAAAGCAGCTACTAAAAACATCAGTGAATGTGACTGTGTTCCAATAAAACTTTATTTACAAAAGCTGACAATGGGCAGGGTTAGCCCTGGGCCACTGTTGCCAACTGCTGCCCAAAGCAATTCTTATATTAATGATGCTGATAGATCTAATGGTATAAAGCTTTACATTTTTTTTTTATTTGAGTGTGAGGGAGTTATAATATTTATTAGATTTCACACACTGCTTTCGACTATGAGAATGGAATTAGGTAAGTCCTTTGAAGTTCCTTTGGCAGTGATCTCTACAGCTAATGTGACAGTAAACTAGAGATCTTTTCCAGCTTACCTTGGTAACTTTGAATGAAGGAATAAAGCAACTAGAGAACTCTTCTCGAGTTCCCATTTTCTTACGGTGAGGTACTGGTTTTCAACATCTATTGGAAAATAAATGGCATGGAAGAAATATCCCATGGTCTCGCACATTCTCTTAAGTTTAGGTGAATGGTCCTAAAAATGAATTAGGATATATTAAAGCATGATATATTTAACTGATAGTGGTACAGAGAGGATCTTATTACTCAAAAGACATATTTTAAACAGCCTGTATTCTAAGCAGTAACCTAATACAAAAAGATCACATTTTAAAGAAAATATTACAGAGCAAAAGTAAATTTCTCTCTAGCACAAAAATTAATAGTTTAATAACATGACTATTTTCTAGCTCATATAATGATTTATTTATTTCACAATCAAGCAACAGAAGAAAGTAGTAGGTTAGTTTGACTTGGTATTTCTTGGTATTATTTTTATCAGGGATAATTTGCTTTCTTGTTTTAAAGGATTCAAAGGTAAATCTCTTTGTGTGTGTGTGTGTGTGTGTGTGTGTGTGTGTGTGTGTGTTGTGTGCGTGTGGAATACGGTGATCTGAGCTAGGAGTCGCAGTTTCAATGACAGCAGGCTTGCCTTGCATAAAAAAGCCCGAGATTTCAATGCAGAAACATAAAATGTTAAAAATCTTAATGAAAAAAAAATCAGTCTACAACAAAGAATATTAGCAAATAATGATGATTTTTATTAAAGGAATTAGTCAGATGCCTCTAGTTGTCTTTGGGAGGAACTTATATCCAACTACGAGATGGAAGCTGTGAACTATAAAATATTCTAGAATTTTACCAAGATTGAGTAATATCATAAAGGAGTGTTAAGTAAATCTACTAACAGTCTGTAGACCATGGATTTAGCAGGTTTATCCTTGGGCATGAAGATGTACTTGAAATTCACTTGAGACAGTAGAGATAGAGTTCTCTTACAAAAGGTCAGTTGTAAATATTTTTTTAAAATAATAATGCTCAATAATTCATCTGTTTTAGTAGGGACCTTTTAAATATTTGGTTTCTGTCCCAGTTAACTGCTTTGGTAGTGCAGCTATGGATCTCTCTCTCTCTCTCTCGATGTGGGAGTGTCATATATCAAGTTGTTGATTTCATTGGTTAAGCAATAAAGAAATTGCTTGGCCCTGATAAGTTAAAACACAGGTGGGAGGAGTAAACAGAACAGAATGCTGGGAGGAAGAGGAAGTGAGCTCAGAGAGACGCCATGCTTCCCTTTCCCAGGTGGAAGCAAGAGCTCTGCTCTCTGAGGAACACGCGATGAAGCTCCGACCCAGGATGGACGTAGGCTAGAATCTTTCCCGGTAAAACTGATGCTACACAGATTATTAGAAATGGGCTAGTCCAGGTGCAAGAGTTAGCAGAGAAGAGGATAGATATAATGGGCCAAGCAGTGTTTAAATGAATACAATTTGTGTGTTGTTATTTCGGGGCATAAGCTAGCCAGGCGGCCGGAGTACTGGGGACGCAGCCCCACCGCTCATATTACAACAGAATGGCGCCCAGACGTGTGGACAACTGTATCCACTGAAAGCCTGAGAAAGCTTGGGAAAGAGTAAAGCATGTTTTCTTGGTAGCAGCGAATTCTCGGGTCTGCTCTGCTTGCTAGAAGCAAGCAAGCACTCTCATCTAAGAGAGGCTTCCTGACTCAGCTTCAGCTGTAAAACCCTGCAGCTCTTAAGAGGTTCTGCCACGAAACATTTAAATGGTGTTGATAAAAGCTGACTGAATGCTTGTTTGTTTTCAGCAGTAGCAGGAAAAAAAAAACTGTGTTGTTTTAAAATGCCGTTTTTCTGGGCTGTCCTGCCAGGGCAAACTCTGACTGTTGGAGGCAGGAGGGCCAGCTACAGAGAGAGGACTTGAGTGTTGTCTGTTGCAGCTTGTTTGATGGCAAGGACCTTGAAACACTGTAGACTTGTAGCACTGAATGCGGCTCTGGCCGGTACCTCAGCAACAAGGTTGGAATTGCAGAAAGCTAAGGAATGGGCTACATCTAGCTGGCAAAGCCACGGCTTTAGTCCTACTGATATTGCTTGGTACATTAAAGACTCATGTGGTCAGAAAAAGAGAGATATACAGTAAAGAGAGATTCAAAGACAAAAAAAATTTCTAAATGGTTTACAGTGTGTTGAAAATATATGCAGACTATAATTTAAAGTTCTTAAAGTAAAAAACAAAAATAAGGAAGAAAGAGAGTAGTTGGGTGTGGTAGTACACACCTTTAATCCCAACAGTTGGGAGGCAGAGGGAGATTGACCTCTGTGACTTCAAGGTGTGGTAGCACACGCCTTTAATCCCGAATGCCTGGGAGGCAGAGACAGGCGGATCTCTGAGAGTTCAAGGACAGCCTGGTCTACAGAGTTATTCCAGGTCAAAGATACAGAGAACCTGTCTCAAAAGGCAAAAAATAAAAAGTAAAAATAAACAAAATAGAGGTTAAAATAAAGCGCACAAAGATGAAAAATACACAGAGAATTTTGATACTGTATGCTATTATGCTCTGTTTGAATCGTTTGAATGCTGAGGAAGGACCAACAGCTGCTAAAAGATATTTGTTTATAAATGCTGCTGAACTAATCCAACATAGATATTTTGAAAATGCCTTGACTTTGAAATTTGGATCTAAGGACACAATGCTTTGGAAAGGAGTTTCTTATTTTGTTTTCACAGAGGGTGAGAGTCTGTGGATTGCTTCTATTCCTATATGGTATTATAGACCACGCCCTCCTGAAAGGTTGCTGTGAACACCCTCAAAAAATTGCTTCGCTCAACTGCCAACTGAGATGACCGTGGCACACAGGTTATCCCATGAAAGAAATGATTAACAGCGTCCCCATTCAGCAGGAAGCAGTTTAGAGAGAAAAAACTGCGCCCATGTTCCCAAATATGGTTTATAAATGTTCTTTTACATTTAAAGGGGGATATGATAGAGATATGAATAATTTACATTGATATGGATTTTGTTTTAGTGATTTAAATTTAAGGTCAATTTTGTTATATGTATATGTGTTTCTGATCTTGATTAAGGTACTGTGATTGTGTAGTTCATTTAAAAATGTAATGTATAATTAGAAATATAGATTGTTAATAGATAATCATAATAGTCAAGTTTGTAGTCATGTTAGTTAGATTTTCTAAATATATAGATATATATTTCAGTTAGATCGGCATTTTTCATATCTTTCAAAGACTACAGAATATGCTATTTAATGTTTTAATAACTTAGGGTTTTTCATGACAATGAGACACTCTGCTCCTGGCAGCACCAATCTACTTCAAGAAGAAGATGGGCATCGAAGAGGATCCTTATGGAGTTTGATAGCCATTTGGGCAAGAAACTGCTCTTGCCTGGACTATTGCATAAACTGGACACAGAGAACCCGCAGAGAGAGGACTACTGAACTTGCCTAAAGGTGAGATGATCTTTCGGGGTTCCTGATTCATGAAAGAGTCTGCAAGACATTTTTCAGGACAAGCAGATAGTGACTGCCTTTGAAATTTCCTGCTTCATGGAAATGTCTGCTGGAAACTATGGGCCTGTAGGCCGAAGATGGATGCCCCAACAGTACAGAGGAACTTTGGGTGACTGTCCAGGCAGCAAAATGTCCTTGTCATTTCTAGAGTTTTAAAAGTTGCTTATTTCTTGTTTACTTAGGTAATATATCCTTCTGGAGTCTTTGATGCAGTTGAAGAATAGATAGATAGATAAGTTGTTTTCCTTTGTTATGATAAAGATAAAATAGATGTAAATATTGTAATTTTTACTTGATAACTGTTTTGTTATATGTAATTTTGCTATGTTAAAGTTAAAGCCTTCCTTTTTTGTTTAAACAGAAAAAGGGGAAATGATGGAGGATGGTCATTGGTTAATTATAATAAAGAAACTGCTTGGCCACATAGGTTAGAACATAGGTGGGTGGAGTAAACAGAACAGAATGCTGGGAGGAAGAGGAAGTGAGCTCAGAGACGCCATGCTCCCCTCTCCCAGGCAGATGCAATAGCTCTGCTCTCTGAGGCACAGACGTGATTCAGCTCTGACCCAGGATGGACGTAGGCTAGAATCTTCCTGGTAAGCGCACCTTGTGGTGCTACATAGATTAATAGAAATGGGTTAAGAGGCTGAAACTAATGGGCCAGGCAGTGTTTCAAAGAATACAGTTTGTGTGTTGTTATTTCGGGGCATAAGCTAGCCAGGCGGCTGGGGTGCCGGGGACGCAGCCCTGCCGCTCCTATTACTACATTCTCTCTCTCTCTCTCTCTCTCTCTCTCTCTCTCTCTCTCTCTCTCTCACACACACACACACACACACACACACACACACACACACCACAGCCTGGGAGTGTTCCAATAACACTTTTTTAAATAGATACTAAAGTGTAGATTTCATATAATTTTTACCTAACAAAATAGTCTTCTTATGTTTCCTTTTTCCAATAATTTAGAACAGTGGCTCTCAAGCCGTGGGTTGCCCTTTAGCAAACTTCTATCTCCAAAAATATTTACATTATGATTCACAAAAGTAGCAACAAAAATAATTTTATGGCTGGGGGTCACACAACATGAAGAACTGAAAGCTGAGAACCACTGATTTAAAATTTAAAATATAAAAACAAATCTTAGTTCTGGGTCATACTTCAGGTAGCAAGCCAGAAGTGGCCACAGGCTGTAGTCCATGGAGCTCTAATTTTGCTTTTGAATAACTCCATGGGATGCCTTGAGAAGTTCAAAGTCATGATAAGGATTAAACTTTAGTATTATCTGAAACAGCTTTAAGGACAGCAACTACATCAGATAAGGCCAACGAAGGGCTCAAACACGGAAGACAATAGCTAATCAAATATGAAAAGGCCATTTTAATACACAGATTCTTAACTATATTTTGTACTTTTACATTAAGACATTGGCATCTTGTTTTGTTGTTTGTTTTTGGTTTTGTTTTGTGGAATGAGACAGGGTTTCTCTGTGTAGCCTTGGCTGTCCTGGACCTCACTCTGTAGACCAGGCTGGCCTTGAATTCACAGAGCTCCACCCGCCTCTACCTCCCAAGTGCAGGAATTAAAGGAGTATACCACTAAGACATCAGAATCTTAATGATCTATTTTAGGTATAAAATTAGATATAAATAGAAAGTAGCCAGAATGCTCCAACATCTTAGTTTCGTCTTCATGCCTTCGCTCCTGTCCTTGCTTTACTAGTAAATTAAATGAAAACTATGAGCCTTAACACAATCACAATGTCTAGCTTACGCATGTGAATACGGAACCAAAGTGCATCATAAGCAAAGCCTTATTAATGCTTTCAGCTTTTTCAGCTGGATAATCTCATAGATAGTGAACTACTTAGTTTAAATGCAATTATATTCTGGATACAACATTAATTTGTATTGTGTTTTGAGATAGGATCTCACTATGTAGTCCAGGCTAGCCTCCAACTCACCTCAGTCCTCTTACCTCTGTCCTGAGTGCTGAGGTTACAGATATGTGCCACTACCTCAGCTATTAACTTGCAGTTTCTTTTCTTTCTCTCTCTCTTTAAGATTTTTTAAAATTTTTTTTATACATATGGGTGTTTGCCTGCATGTGCATTATGAGCATGCCTGGTGCCCACAGAGGCCAGAAGAGGGCATCCATTGTCCTGTGACAGGAATTATATTATATTATAGCCATTTGTTAGCTGCTGTGTGGGTGCCGGAAATAAACCCGGGTCCTCTACAAGAGCCGCTAAAGTTCTTAACTGCTGAGCCTCTCTCCAGCCCCAGACTCTGTATTCTCAATGAGTTAATACACAATTTATGAATATCTCACCTTCAGAAAAAGTTCCATTTCAGGCTGGGTTTCGGCTGTGTAGATGAGGTAACATCTGACAGAGTGACTCCACAGGGAACGTGAGAACAAGGGCGTGACCTGCAATAAGCCAGCCACGGCAGTGTCCCAGTCATCTGGAAGTAAAATGTCCATCAATCGATGAAAACCTTACCACCATACCCCTGACAAAATAATGCCAAGGAAGTCTGAAAAAAAAATAACAGACATAGACTAGAACCTGCCGTCGTGTTAATACCAACAAAGCTGGAACCATGTATTAGAAAGTAATTAATTCCTAGCCTCAACTTCTCCTCTGGGATTTGAGGTAATGAAGGTCAGTAGTCTCCCCTGGAGACAATGGATCCCCAGGATAGTGGCTGTGATTCTATTTATCATGAGCCACTCGGTTGCTCTGCTAGTTGAAGGGAGTCTGCCTTCCCAGGGTGATGTGCCATTTTGCCTTCTTATGCTTGAACTCCAGTGAAGCTAAAAGAGAGTTTGAGAATGGTGTAAAACGAAAAGTAGTTTTATGTTATTTAGTGGGAAGGAAAAATTATGAAATACCAGGCAATAACAAATATAAAAATATTGTTTCTCACTTAAACTACATCATATGCTTGTGGCTCAACAAAAGCACCTGCGAATTCTGAGAATAGCACAGCTACTAGAACCTGGGTGGCCAGGATAGTAGGAGGGCCATGTTATCCTGATGAAAAGTGTGTCACCTCAGCTTGGTCAGTCGTAGCCTCTGTGCGTGCTGGCTTGCCAATGGAATATACCAGAACACCAACTTCATATGCACAAGATTCTAGAGCACGAACAGTCACAGGCAAGGGGCTGGTTACCTCGGTTGATGTTTGCGAAGGGTCCTTCCACATCTATAGAACTGTGGGCAAACTCAGGGCCTCTGAAGGACTGCTGAAGCTGGATCATGCTGCCTATGGAAGGCTCGCTTCCCAAGGCTCTGCTGGCCCAGTATTCACATTGGGTTCCAGTAGCTGTTGCAACAAGGAATTGGAATTTCAAAAACAACCAAGCTACCAAATATTTTAAAACTCACTACATATGTCAAATAATAGTATTTCTCATGTCAAGATGTTCTATTTAAAAATAAAACAAACATTCAAATAATGGTTTTCAAAATATTTTGGCACTGACTTTTGGCAAAGCATTTCAGTTCTGGTTAGCACAATTCTGGTTATCATCTCAAATTCAAAGAAAGGATTAAAATAGGAAAGAAGGAAGTCAAAAAGAGACAAAGGAATTTTAGTAAGAGGCAGTTTAGGGCAGTGAGATGATTCAGTAGGCCAAGGCACTTGCCACCAAACCCGAGGACCTGCGTCCAATACCTGGAGTGCAATTGGCAGAAGAAGAGAACTGATTCTCAGATTATCCTCTGACCTCCACACGCGTGCACTTCCAGCCACATGCACACACATACATACCCACATACATATACTCAAGATAAATAAACGAAATGAAAAAGAGGCAGTTTAAAAACACCACAAACAAGTCTAAAAATATACTTGCAAATGGACATTTACACATCAGTTAAAATGTAAAGGAATTTTTTTTTCCCCCCAAGATGAAGCCCCAGCTGTCCTGGAACTCACTATGTAGACCAGATTGACTTCCAACACACATAGATTACCTGCCTCTCCTCCCTGAGTGCTGAAATTCATGGCATATGCTGATGTGGGATTCTCCTTTGTATGTTATGAATATGTTTTATTACCATTGGTTATTAGAAAAGCTGTTTTGGCCAATGGCTTAGTAGAGTAAAGCCAGAAAGGAAATCCGAACAGAGATATATAGAGAAAGTAGGTGGAGTCGAGGAGATGCCATGTAGCTGCCAAAGGAGAAAGATGCCAGCTGCCACCCAGAACCTTACTGGTAGGTGACAACCTCATGGCAATACACAGATTAATAGAAATGGGTTAATTTAAGATGTGAGAGTTAGCTAAAAATATGCCTAAGCTATTGGTCAAACAGTGTTGTAATTAATATAGTTTCTGTGTGATTATTCAGGTCTGAGTGCTGGGAAACAAACGAGCAGTCTCTGCCTACAATATGCTACCATGCCCAGCTTCTGAAGGGGCTTTAAACATAGACTATCAGGGCATTGATAACTTGTGTCCTTCAGGTTTAAATTGATGTATCAATGAGAAGGACCAAGAAGGCAGCATTAGCTTGTGTCTCTTAACTTGCCAAGACATTACAGTAACTTTGATACATTATACATATGAAGAAGCCAATATGGAATGGAAGCAGTCAGTAAGTCATGTGACAACAGGAGGCTGTTCTTGGTCAGTTGGGATCACTGCATCTTTTTCTCAAAATGCTGCTCACAACCATTGAGAATAAAATGAAAATAAGTCAGGGACAGCCAGGTGCTGTATCTTACTCCCCAGTGCATCCCTTTGTAAGGCTATAATACCACCCTTATAAACAGGAGGATCACAACAACATCTCCTTATACCTACAGGAAGCTTTTCCTTTACCTTGTACTAATCACAGCTCATTAATACTTTCTTGAATTGTGGGAAATGTCTTGAATTCTGTGATTACAGATTTTTCTTTCTTGCTAGAAAAATGTAGGTGTGACTCGCCGTGGGTACCTTGGGTGGGGATTGGCGTGTGGAGAGAGAGCGCACATGTACACCATGGACCAGGATGGTTGGCAGAGCATGAGGACAAGAGAAAGTCTAACCAGAACTACCAAGGACAGGAGGTCCTAGCAGCTAAGAGAGTACCAAAAGGTCTCTTCTGTGTGTAAGAGCATGGCACGCACTAATCCTGCACACAGAGAGCAAAGGGAATACGGCAGTCGGTTCTGAGCATCACAGCGGCCCTGCAGAAAGGGTAACGTGAACATGAAATGCGCTTACCTGTGACATCTGTGCAGCTGTCATCAGAATCAGACTCTCCAGGGTCGAAAACTTGGATACCCTGTGCCTGCAGCCTTTGAAGTTTGCTCTCCAGTTCCCGCTTGGCCCTCAGTAAGTCCTGGATTTCATTTTCTTTGGTCTCCCTAAAAATCTTTTAAAACGTAGAATTTAATTTTGAGACTCTTTTTATAATCACAAAGTTGTGCCACCAACTTTTCAGGGGGGAAACCCATTCATTCATAAAGTCAGTTTTTATTGGTTCTTAGTCTCCTCTGAGATGACGTCCTCAGACCTTTTATTGCTTCCCAGTTGAACCCACTGGAAGTCTAGCAGCATGAAGGTGAGTCTTATGTGACGTCTAACAAATTTGTTTCCTTCATACCAAATACCAAACATTTTCAAACGCTCCATCTCACGAAGGAACCACATTCTTAGAGGCTGGAGAGAGGGTACAGTGGCTAAGAATACATGCTACTCTTGCAGCAAACCTGAGTTTTGATTCCTTTTGATTCCTAACACTCATGTTGGGCAGCTCACACTGGCCTGTGACTCTGGCTCCAAGAGATCCTATGACTCCAGCCTCCACAGGCACTGCATCCATGTGTGTTTGTATATACATACACACACAATTAAAAATAGAAATAAAAATTCATTCTTTAATCTTTCAATATCTCATCTAAAATGTTCACTTTCCAGATTATCTCTCTATCAAATAAACAACACCCAACTGAAAACACGAAACACTTTCTTCTCCAGCTCTTGTGACCTTCATACGTGTTACTTCATTTATCTCTGTTCATCATGATAGCAGATGAACTTTTTTTCTGTTGTGTTTTTCAAGACAAGTTCTCATTATGTAGACCAGACTGGCCTTGAATTTACAGAAATCTGCTTGTCTCTGTCTCCAGAGTGCTGGGATTAAGGGCATGGGCCGCTACATCTGGATCAAATAAACACTTTTTTTTTTTTTTTTTTTTTTTTTTTTTTTTTTTTTTGGTTTTTCGAGACAGGGTTTCTCTGTGGTTTTGGAGCCTGTCCTGGAACTAGCTCTTGTAGACCAGGCTGGCCTCGAACTCACAGAGATCCTTCTGCCTCTGCCTCCCGAGTGCTGGGATTAAAGGGCGCCAACACCACCCGGCAGGAACACTTTTTTAAAAAAAATAGTTTTTAATCTGTGACACTGGAGGCGTGTAGAAATACAAGGAATTTACCTTGAATTGCCTTTTAACTCTGTCTCTGTCGTGTTCAAATGTAACTGCTCTCTCCATGGCTTGGTATTTTGCTTCCAGGGCCCCCTCTTTTTCCCGCAGTATCTTCTGATAAGTTTTCTGAAGTGCCTGGAATAATTCACCTGTTATCTCTTAACAAAAACAGCCTTGCCTTCTGATATATATGTTACACGTGTTAGGATTTAATACTCTACTCATTATTTTTATCAACTATCAAGCATGTCTATGTCATCATTTTATTCATGCAAAATAGAAAAAAATGCAAACATGTTTGAATCCTAGCAAGCAGATTCTGCAGCAATGAGCTTTCAATGTACATGAACACCTTTTCTTTGAAATACTGCACCAGCTCCCAAAGTCTTCTATGCCTCAGGTTTTCTAAGAGACTAAGAAATGCAATTTGTAAGGCTCAGCTTGAAGAATAATTAACTACGAAAGTTTCCATGCTCCGCGACAATATAGATTAATCCTTTTATTGTCCGCTGAGCCATTCAGTCTGATTCCACAGCGGGCCTCCAGTAAATGTCAACACAGCTGAGTGAAATAAATGTGGGAAAATTTCCTCAAGATTATACAGGCAAGAAAAGAACAGCAGGTTATATAAGGAAGTGGGATTGCTGACCAGTGACCTGTGACTTTGGGTCTGTCAGCCCTCTCTAAGCTGGCTTCTTCATCCTGCCCCTTCCTACCTGCCATCCACATGACTCTCAGCTGGCAGTAGTGCACGCACATGAAATCAGACCGGAAATGCACAGGTCCACCTTATATGGGCAAGTGCATTGGTCAGCCAGTGGAACCCGAGGGCAGCAGGAGCTGCAGCGAGGAACATCTTCCCAGAGAATATGCTAATGGAATACTAGATAATGATGGAAATGAAGCCTGACTAAAAGAAGGCGCCTTCTTTTATGTAAAGCCTGAGCTATTTATTTAATGCCTACTTCAATGGGCCCTGGAGCTCTTGGGCTATCAGAGATCTCACCCAGGGAAAAGAAAGGAGTAAACATACGACCACCAGAGAGGCTCCGGGCCCCTGGCATCAAGTCCCAGACTTTTTGCTCTGAGAAATTTTGCTTTACCTACTATCTGAATGAACTAAAGCCGATCTGTTATAAGGCCTACAAAGCATCAAAATAACGATTGAGTCCATTAGCCAAATGGACTACGGGAATTTGAGTACTCTCAAGGAAGGTTTTCAACCACAGCAGTTAAAAACGGTGAAACCAGGAGGTTTCCATAAAAATTCCTGTCATATCATTAAAACCCAAAACTTCAGGACGTCGCAAAGAAACTGAGCCAAGCGCTCCATGTTGGAGATATGTTAAATGGGGAGGAGTTGTATGAAGTTTCATCACAGTGTGGCATTTGTGGCTTCAGGACTTGGGATGATTGATTCAAGGTGTCTAGATGAATGAACCGGAAATTGAAAAGGGGGAAGAAAGAACCTGATAAGAAATTAGTTTAGATTCAAATAATTCCTCGTAAACAAGGAGAAGTTTCTGTCCAACTTGGAAAACAACTAGATTTGTAGGCTGGGGCAGGATGGTGGTGCCACCAAGTGGCTGAGCGGCACACCCGGGTCTCAGTTTCCCAAACAGCGCTTCCCGCTCACAACACACTCTGTCCCGCGTTACCTGCAGCTCCGCCCGCAGCCTCTTGTTCTCGGTGTCCAGCTTGGCCTCTCGGCGACCCATGGACAGCAACTCCTGGTTCTTGCTGACCCGGAAGATCTCATACTCCTTCTTGAGGCGCTCGAACTCGGCTGCCGCGTACTCCAGCTCTGGCACCGACGAGCCGGTGGACTTGAAGCTGGCTCCCAGCAGCCCGCCGCCGCCCGCCGCGCGAGGCAGCGACCCGGGCCCGGCTCCCGCTCCCCTGCGGAACGAGCTGCGCAGCAGGCGGGCCTTGGGCTTCACCTCCACCGGGATCTCGCAGGCCTCGCCGCCGCCCGCCCCGTACGTGTCCTCGATCACCTCCCCACCAGCAGGGCTCACCAGAGATGAGGCTGTCCCCATGGTGCCCACGGCCAGGCGAGGCGGCTCGCTGGGTCCCAGTAGGAGGTGGGGCCAAGAGGGCGGGGCCTGGAAAGCAGGGCGGAGCGCAGCGGCGAGGGGGTGTGACCAGGAGGCAAGGGCGGGGCCAGGAGGGGCGGAGTCCAGATGGTGGGGCGTGGCCGAATGGTGGGGCGGGGTGCAGAAGCGGGGAGGGCGGAGGGGGGCTGAGAGAGGAGCAGAGCAGTAGTGAGTGGGGCCTGGAGAGAAGGGGAGAGGAAAGTGACACAGAGAGGAGGCGTGGTTTCAAAGACAAGGCGTCCAGGGAGGGGCGGAGCCAGGCCTTAGGGGCGTGAACAAACAAGCAGGGCGTGCTGCGGCTGCAGGAGAGGACTCGGTCTGCAGAGAGGGGTGGGACGTGGCAGCGAGAGGAGGCGTGGTCAGGTGAGGCCAGGGCCCGAAGTGGAGGTGGGGCCGGGGTTTGGGGACGTGACCGGGTAAGTGGGAGGCGCTGTGGCAGCCGGGGAGAGTCAGAGTGGGAGGGTCCAGGCGTGACAGCTGGGGTGGGGGCGGGTATCTGCAGGAGAAAAGAACGGCACCCAGAGGGCGGAGCCAGGTTTCAGGGGCAAGGCCGTTCTAGTGGGGCTGGAGCTTCTGCTGGGGAGCTAGCGGCTTGCAGAGAGGGGCGGGACGAGGCAGGGTTGCGAGAAAGGAGCGTGGGGGAAGAGCGGAGTTGGTAACACGGACCGGAGCTGTCCGGCCTGAGAGCTGGCTTTTCAGTAACAGGCTGCAGGATTGAGTTGGGCAAGCCGGGGTGGGGGTGGGGGGGTGGGGAGGACCAGGAGAGGAGCTATACTCCAGGACGTCTAGAAGGGAGGACTTCAGACTAGGACCTAGGCTAAAAGCGAGAAGGGCGAAGGGCGCTGCTTCGCTTACTTTGCGAGAACTAGATCCCACACCCACCTGCTCTTGCTCCACCGCTGCTGTCTCTGCTGCCCCAAACTAGGGTCTCCTCTCCCTAGAGGCAGTTCAGGGCCTACTGTGTCTCTCAGTATGCATGTAACAAATAATGTTGTCCAGGAAAGAACTTTAAAGCGTCACCACATGAGACCACGGGGTCCATCCTTTGATAAGATCAGGTTTTATAACTCAAGGCACCTGGGACGCTGGGGATCGTAGACTAGACGAAAGGAAATTATTACAATTATAGAGTCTGCAGGAAGGGAACACTTGCTATCATTTTAGATTCTGTTCCTGGTTGCCCTTGGTCTGTTAGCTTGTCTTCCTACCCACTCCAGGTTGGTGCCCAAAGTTAAAGGGGACAAAAAGGGCAGAAATGTCTTTGCTTGACACTGTTGTGAGCTGTGAGCTGGTACTCTTTATGCATGTCCTTTCCTTCTTAGGAAGTACCGAAATTCTTTAAAGTGCCAGCCACTCTCTCCTATCTGCCATTATTCTCTGATTACTGGAAATTCCCTTGCCCAAGTGTGATATAATTTTATTTCAGCTTTTGCTTACTCCTTCCCTGGTTGCAAGGAAACTAGTGGCATTTTAAGCATGTGTCCTTGCAGAGCTTCCTGCATGGTGACTCGCGTGACCATAGGGTCCCATCTGACTCACAGACACCGTCAGGTTTCCTGAAAAGCTGAGATAACCATACAAGACATCTACAGTGAAACACTGGGCCCGACACCTGCGACAGGAAAAGGGAAGCAGGGAGACTGGGCAGAAGGAGAGATTGCATTCTGCCGCATTCCCGACAAGGACCTCGGCTGTCCTGCACAGATTGTAAAAGCTGGGATGGCTCCGTAGATTGTTCTAAATTGGTTTGGGGGCTAGGACTTCATACTTCGCTTAATCTAGTCATCTGTTCTCTTTAGCTGGGGGAGACTGATGTCTGAGAGTGGTTTGCTCACAGCATTGTTAGCGGCTGAAGTCGAATCCGTCAGTCACCTCTACCGCATAGCAAACAGTCTTTCCTCCAGAGAACTTTGGGAATGCCGGTCCGATCCAACCTATGAACAATAACTGCTCCTGAACTCCTTCCACCGAAGTAGCTGGTCATCTTTTCTGCTGGCCTTTGTATTTTTCTGAGTTGAAGGGTTACATATTAATTTCTTCAGGTAGTACCATGAGACTTTTCAGGGGAAATATTTCCTCTGCCATAAAACCCAAAGAATTCCCTACATTCTCAAATTCTCTTTGGTTGCTAATTTCTGATGTCAGTTCCATCAACTTAGATCAGAGATTTAAGAACCATTCTCCAGATTTCTTTTCTTTCTCCTTCCCTCCTCCTTTCCTTTTCTTTCTAAACCAGGGTGCCCCATAGCTCGGACTGGCCTCAATCTTTCTTTGTAGCCAAGGATGACCTTAAACTCCTGATCCTCCCTGCCTCCACCTCCCAGGTGCTGTGATTACCACTAGATGCCACCATGGTATGTTTAAGCAGAGCATGCTTGCCAGACAGAACTGATTTGTTCCACGTCCCTGTCCCATTCTCTAGATACCTGACAATTTGCTTGAAAATGTTCATGTTTGGGATGTGGCTCAGCTGAAGACATCTATGAGTGTGCCATCACCCACCCCTTCCAAAAAGTGACAGAAAAGAGCTACACTAATTGATGACAGTATGGGAGCTTAGATCCCACTAAGAGCCCCAAATCAACCATTTTTTTTCCCTTCACCTCTTTGGTGATGAACCCTGTTTGACATGTATTTCACCTTTGTTGGGCCACTTTCCTTCTGCCTCTTATGTGGCTGCTGTTTCCTTGTGGTACTCACTGCTAACCCCGTTTCTTCAGAATGTGGTGTCCTTCTCTGATAGTTATCCAGAGTTTTGCATGAGCTTTTCTGTTGAGCGTTCACCCTCATGGCAGCAGTTCTAGCAATCATGGTGCACCCTGTGCAAGAACCACTTCCTAACTCCATTCTGCATCAGCTGCTTCTGCGTTTGTGTGGACTGATTTCCACTGTCAGCTTGGCAGGATTCGAAATCCTCTAGAAGACACACGCATGTCTGTGAGGGCATTTTCCTGAGAAGTTTAACTGACAGTAGTGAAGTGTGCACAACCATTCTTCCCACTGGGGCCCCAGAGTGAGTACACAGAAGAGAGCAACTGGACAGTCAGGATTCATCTCTGTTTTCTGGCTGAGGTTACAATGTGAACAACTTTCCTGCCTTCCTGACAGACGGACTATACCCTCAAGCTGTGAGCCAAAATAAAACTACCCTTCCTCCCTCTCTCCCTCCCTCTCTCGCTCCATCCCTCACTTCCCTCCTTCATGTCTCTCTTTTCTCCCTCCCCTTTCTCCTTCCCTCTCTTCCCCTTTCTCTCTCCCCTCTCTCCTTTCCCCTCCCTCCCTCTCTCCCTCCCTCTCTCCTCCCCTCTCTCCTTTCCCCTCCCTCCCTCCCTCTCTCCCTCCCTTCCTTCAGTTACTTTTTGTCATGGCAATGAGAAAATTAACACACCATTTTGCTAACTAGGAGGGATTTTTATTTTGTAACTTTTGGTTGTTATTGTTGCTGCACCAGATGTTATGGGCTCTCTCCTGAGCATGTGCAGTAGAACAAATAACTGACGCTCTGGGAAGACCTATTACAACTGTAGCCAGAGACTGCTCAAGTGTTTCCTGGCCGCCCAGACCCGAATAATCACACAGAAGCTATATTAATTACAACACTGCTTGACCAATGACTTGTGTGTACTCCTAGCTAGCTCTTACATCTTAAATTAACCCATTTCTATTAATCTATGTATCACCACGAGGTTGTAGTCTACTGGTGAGGTGTCAGTGGCATCCTTCTCCTTTAGCAGCTACATGGCATCTCCTTGACTCCATCTACTCTCTATATCTGTGTTCAGAGTTCCCACTTGGCTTTGCTCTGCTAAACCATTGACCGAAACAGCTTTATTCATCAACCAATAAAAGCAACACACATGCTGAAGGACTTCCCACATCATATGCCCTCAGTTCTCACAGAGCTCATGGACAAGACTAGTTGTCACTACCATCTTCAAAGACTGTCAAATGGCTTTGTAGACTCTCCAGACACAAATCTGGGTTTGCTGAGACCCTGAAGCTGTCTGCATCTATAGAGACAATGACAAAGACATCATCTTTTTCATCAAGTAACTATACATACATTCATGTTCACCTTGGATAAGCATACATTAATGCCAAGATAGGCAAACCAAATAAATGAGCTCAAAGATGACCATGTGAAGGGGCTGGTAGTAGATTTCCACTGAGTTTATTAATCCTAAAGCATGGTAAAAAAAATATAGTCTAATCTCAATTTCATCATCTGTTCTTCTTAATGCTTAATAGAACCTACCTACCTGATTCTGCATTTTCAAAGTATAGCACTGAACAGAAAGATGCACTGAGGAGTAAAATCTAGCAGGTGGCCTGTGACTGATTACAGATAGATGCTTTGGGGACAGAGAAATGGCAAAGGCCCTTCCTTGCTGCTGAGACTGATGGCCCAGGTTCAGTTCTTGAGACTCATGTCATAGAGGTAGAGAGTTGACCCCTGAAAGTTGTTCTTTGACTCACAAATGCATGCCACGGGGTAATTTAAAAAGATAGCATAAACCAGGCGCTGGTGGCACAGCCTTTAATCCTAGCACTCAGGGAGGCAGAGGCAGCTGGATCTCTGTGAGTTCCAGGCCAGCCAGGGTCTACAGAGTGAGTTCCAGGCCAGCCGGAGACACACAGAGAAACCCTGTCTCAAAAAAAAAAGATAGCATAAGAGTGGGTACTTTTTGAGATAGGGTCTTTTTGAGATAGGGTCTCACTTTGTAGCCCAGCCTGGTCTTCAACCCGCTTCCTCCAGGCCATACTTCCAGTGTGCTCAGATTACAGATATGCATCGCCACGCCTACCCTGGTTACAAACAGTTTTAACACTTTGCTCATTGAAAGATGATACAGTTTACAACAAGAAGGGGCTATGTGTGTGGGACCAAGTGCCAAAGGGGAATGTATTGCCCTTGTTAAAAAAGCATGAAGAATTCCAAGCAAC